CACAAGCTATGTTGCTCGGACTCTCCGAAAATGTCGCCGGGTGCGTGTCGGATTCTTCAAAAGCAGTGTATTTTTTGAGGAGAATCCGACACAGGTGCGGCAGTATTTTGGAGAGTCCGTGCAACATAGATCACAAGTGAAAGTAAACCGTTTTTCCCAAATAGGAAGTAGATCAAAACAAATTGTTAAACAGAGATTAGTACACTTTTCTTCAGCGGCGGAGCCAGAAATTTGGGCACAAGAATGACACACTTCGATTTGAACCTATGACTAAAGTAATTTTGAACCCCCTTTTCCCACTACACTAGTAGTTTCTCTTATGTTAAGGGATTCAACATTCTATAGATATACAAAAAGAAATTATTTTTACCCTATTTACGCAGTATACGACAAAGTAGATTCAATTGAATTCCCTTAACAATAGGTTCCTGTGTTCCTGCTTTTCTTATGCAGCAAGTATCTAAGACAGCTAATTTGTTCCAGATAATTAATCATGAGATTTTCTCTTTGATTGGAGTTGTTAGATGTTTTACAGTTAAGTGTTAACTGATGACTTATTCTTCTGCATTAGGTGCTTAGCGACTCCCAGAAAAGAGCTGTGTATGACCAGTATGGTGAAGACGGGCTGAAGGGTGGGGTGCCACCGCCAGGAGCAGGTGGGCCGGGTGGTGGTTCCCCCTTCTTCTCTACTGGGGAAGGCCCCCAGTCATTCAGATTTAATACTAGAAGTGCGGATGACATATTTGCTGAATTTTTCGGCTTTTCAAGTCCATTTGGAGGTGCTGGAGGAAGGGGACCAAGGTTTGGTGGTATGTTTGGCGATGATATGTTTGCATCCTTTGGTGAAGGAGGAGGCGGTGGTGGTGCTTCAATGTATCAATCAGCTCCAAGGAAAGAGGCTCCGATACAGCAGAACTTGCCTTGTAATCTTGAGGATCTTTACAAGGGTACCACCAAGAAGATGAAAATTTCTAGAGAAGTTGCTGATGCGAGTGGGTAAGTAATGGTTCCATACAATCTGTTTGACTGGTCAATGTTTATCAATCTTGCTGTTGAGCTTCAGCTTTCTACGTGTGATATTGGATATGTAGGTAATAGTGGTGTTCATACAGTCTGATTATCGCTTTGCTATTTGCTTGCCCATCAACTTTTGAACTTATATTGTCTGCGTGTTATGTACTATTGGTTTACGATCATCTCGCAAAACGGTAGAATCTTATCCATTCTAGGTTTCAATGTCAATTACCTGGAATTTAGTGAAAACGTTAGTTATTACTCAATTAACTGAAATACTAACATCTCAGAATTGCCTCCATCCCACTTAGTTCAGCTCGCATAAAGAACTGTCCTGTTGTATAATGGAAAGCCCTCTGCTAGGCAAGTAGTCTGAACGAGGATATCTGTCAAATGCCTGGATTTTATTCATGTAAATTTGGAATCTGGTTAGTGATCATTGCTAGTAGTTCCATTTACATTAGGATACACCAACTTATGGTTGATGTGACTTGGTAAGTTTCTGGCTAACCATATTTAGAAACTTAATAATCCACATCGCATTGCAATGTGACCTTATTATCTTTGAAGGTTCTTGGTCTCATCATCCTTATAAGAGAGCCTTCTTTCTTATATATTGATCTCATCTCTTTGTAGTCATAGGAAGGTGATATGGAGGTAGCTCTTTTATTTCTTTCTGCTGAGAAGCACTTGCTATCCCTCGATCTTTTGAATCGCTTTTCGATAAATCTAATCTTACAATGTAAAATGACGTGCCCTTTCCGTTTTTTTCTTCAAGTACTTCATTGGCCTGAGGTAAAGATAGTTGCGTGATAGAAACTAGGGATAAGGTACTAGTGTAGTGCCCTTTGACCTATCCATTTCTTCAACTTAAAGTTGTCTGGGAAATACCAAGGGTATTCGAACAGTGAAATGGTAAAATTTGTATGTCATTAGGCAACTTGTTAAAACAAGAGGCTGAAATTTCCTAATTCCCTACTTCATAGCATATTACAACAACAACAACATCCCAGTGTAATCCCACAAGTGGGGTCTGGGGAGGGTAATATTTACGCAGACCTTACCCCTACCCCGAGGGTCAGAGAGGCTGTTTCCAGGAGATCCTCGGCTCAAGAGAGCAACAAGAGACAATATATTAGTACTATCAATAGACTCATAATACATAACATAAATAACAATATAAGAAATATAGGAAATACGAAAAGGATGGAGAAAAGGATGTAAGGTATACTAATATCCAACAGATACAGCCCTGCATCAGTAGCTGATCAGTAGCATCCTAAGACTAACTCCTAAATGGCTAGTCTCACTCTAGTGCGCTGTAGTAATATTCACAAACTACCCTCTAACTTACAACCTTAATGCTCGACCTCCACAATTCCCTGTCAAGGACCATGTCCTCAGAAATCCTAAGTCGTGCCATGTCCTGCCTGATCACCTCCCCAATACTTCTTAGGTCTCCCTCTACCTCTCCTCGTGCCCACCACAGCCAGTCGCTCGCACCTCCCCACTGGTGCATCAGTGCTCCTCCTCTGAATGTGCCCGAACCATCCGAGTCTTGCTTCCCGCATCTTGTCCTCCATGGGGGTCACACCCACCTTCTCTCGAATATCTTCATTCCTAATCTTGTCCATCCTTGTATGTCCGCACATCCACCTCAGCATCCTCATCTCTGCTACTTTCATCTTCTGGATGTGTGAATTTTTAACCGGCCAACACTCGGCCCCATACAACATAGCAGGCCTAACCACTGCTCTATAAAACTTACCTTTTAGTGACGGTGGCACTTCATAGCATATTGTATCTATTATTTATTTATGATCAAGCTTATTAACTGTCTGTTATACCTTCTTGTAACTATTTAGCTCATTAAATCCTGCATAATTCTCAACAAAAAAAAAAGAGAGGAGAAAATCTTACATAATTTTATCAACTTCTCCTAAAAGCAGTTGACCTATGATATAATGAAGCCTACCTGTAGTGAATTTGCATTATAGGTGTAGGGGGGACCTTCAAACTCATACTGTTGAAGCAGTAGTGCAGTATGTAGTCCTTGTACATACTTGAGATTTTTAATGCATCATCAAGTTGATGGATTTTCTTGAGTACATTAGCTATTTGTAGTATCAGGATCTAAGTTCTGAATTATCTTCCATTGCGTCGGCCTTTTAAGATTCTTTTTTTGTCAGACGTGTTAGATTATTTATACTGTGTTTTGTTTAGTGGGTTTTCTTGCCTACTAAACTTATTCTGTGTACTTTTGTTGCGTGCAGCAAGAGAATGCAGGTGGAGGAGATTCTAACAATCAATATTAAACCTGGCTGGAAAAAAGGTACAAAGATTACCTTCCAAGAGAAAGGGAACGAGCAGCCTGGCGTTATACCAGCTGATCTTGTCTTCATAATAGATGAGAAACCTCATAGAGTTTTCTCACGCGACGGAAACGACTTAATTGTTACACAAAAGATATCTTTGGTTGAAGCCTTGACTGGTACTACAGTCCAACTCACTACTCTAGATGGAAGGAATTTAACCATTCCCGTCAACAGTGTTATTCAACCAAATTATGAGCATGTTGTCCCAGGCGAAGGTATGCCGCTTCCAAAAGATCCGACAAAGAAAGGAAATCTGAGAATCAAATTTGACATCAAGTTCCCTGTTCGTCTGACTACGACCCAGAAAGCTGGGATCAAGGAGCTATTGGGTTCTTGAGCTTTATGCAAGCTTAAAGCTGGTTTGTTGTGATGTGTACATATTTTCATAGAACCATTTTAAATTTATGGAATGGGGTGTTGGTTTTAGGCTTATAGGAAAGATGACACCTTAGCGAAGTAGATTTCTGCGAAATATTTTGCTTTGCATCTTAAGGGTGTTGTTCAGTGGTACCATTCAACAATAGCAATGCCATTTTTGTTTGTCGAATAAGATTAAAAATTTACATGGCAGATTTACCAGTGTCAGCTTGCGTATTGTCTGTCGTGAAATATTAGCGGTGGAAAGAAACTGTGTTGGGGCAAAAGGAACCCTTGAGAAATTTCCTCCTTACATGTAGTGAAGTGATTTTATAGAGCCTGGAGAGCAGTACAATCTCAACTAGAATACTCATGCATTTAGATGAAGCTGTTGCGCAGCTGGTATTCGAAGCCATTCTCGCAACAAGTAGTCTCTGTGATTAGCCTTATATTCTGGTTTCGATGTGTTTGTTTATGACAGCTAGCCATAAAGCTCAAATCCTGGTAATACTATTTTGAAAACTTATGCAGTACAGTTTGTGAGGGATTTAATCATTTATATATCAACTTATAGTAGCATTATAGAATGACTCTGGCATCCTTAGCTTGTTAACCTATGTTACTTTGCTAGTAGTGACCTTGTAATCAGTCCCATTATGCACTTCATTTGCTCGTTTACTTCGTCTTTTTGTTTACATTTGAGTCCCAGTTTTGTGTGTATCCTCATCAAAGAGGGCATTGAGAATATCAAGAGATGTTAAGGTGGCGGGCGATGAAAAGAGAATGAGCATAATTTCTTGCGTAGTTGAAAAATTAGCAGATCTATCTTTCCAAATTCTCTGAGTGAAAAATGAAAATTTAGATCAATATTATGGTATACTTGATTTGCTGGTGATCCTCTTCAATTGAGGTGTCAAATTCAGCTCTTTTAGGTCAGTGTTTGCATTAATTAACCAATGTTGGTTTGCTATTCGACTCCAAATCATTGATTTAAGCACTTTTTAATGTGTCAATGAACACATGAGCATGAGTGGTACTACAACTTGTTCCACTTTGACTTCTCAGAGATTGAATAGCTAGTGACGTCGCTGTTCACAAAACATGATCAACCAAACTAGGAAACGACTTGATTGTCACACAAGATATCTTTGGTTGAAGCCAGGCCACACTTGGAACGTGCTAATTCAAAAAATCGATCCCCTAGTTTTCCCAGCGACGTATATTATTTGGTCAGATCAGTAGCTTCAACGAAAATGAACTGGAAATGAGACAACATATGCACGGCATTGCCACATTAGATTACACACGATGTGATACATATGTTAGTGTAAGAGGAACTACTGTACTATTTTCAAGTTACATGCTGACTATTAACAGTTAGAATAGAACTAATGATGCTTTCACAACAACAATTGTGGATTCTTGTCGAGCGTATTCCTGTAGCTCCCAACAAGAGCGCTGATCGAAGACCTGCATTGAATTTATCCTTTGACCTTCCTCTCTTTCGCACTCATTAGGAGAAATGAAACCATAATGCCCTGTGGGTTTAACTTAGCTAGTGACTACTGCAGTGTTCATGAACTATTCTCAATCACTATACTCGGATGATGATTCTGAATCTTTATTTAGGTTTTCAACAAGTTCTCCATCCATAAATCTATTCCCTTCTTCCTCGGACCCGGCATCAAAGTATCTTTGGACATTTTCATCGGCCAATCCATCTTCCTCATCCTCTTCATCACGGTCATCCTCATAATCATCAACATCATCTCCATAGACAGGTTCAATATAATGTTCACCAACACTGTAATTAACACTGTTCGATACATGATCAGTTTTATTCCTTAAAACACCATAGTCATCAGCCATTAAATCTTCATAATCATTAGCAGTTGCTTGACCATTATCATCTTCAGATCCTGATGTTCCAGGATCACTGTCATTACCGGGTGCCTCAAATTGAGCTGCTGCTGTTTCTTCATCTTCTTTCCATTTTTGCTGACTGGGGATAGGCACTTTTTCTATAGCAACATTTTTGACATTCTTGACTGGCTTTTGCCTATTACGAACAGAGCGGCGGCCTCTTTTACGTCGTCCTTTGCCACGGTCTCGACTTTTCCAGGGTGAGAGGTGGTCAAATCTGTCATTGTACTTTGTTGGTGTTCTCTGAGCAGATTCAGATTTGGATGCACTGAGTTTCCTCTGAGATCTGCCTCCATGGACACGACCATGAGCTCCTCCTCTTACATGATTACGACCCTGTCCTGAATTAGAATGTCTGCCTCCTACCGTAACTGAGAAATCTGGTTCTAGATTTTCATATTCAAGAGGAGCTTCAGCAGATATAATCCCCGCAACTCTCTTCATATCAGCATAATTTGTTTTAAATGTCTGGCATATTGGGAAAGATTCAACGTGTAAATGAAGTCAACCAGCAGAAGCTTGAAAAACTTAATGCAATGCTCTAAAGCAGAAAAGGAAGTATCAGCTCATTGATTTGAAGCATGCAAGCTATTATTTAGTGCCAAAAACAAAGTGGGTCCTTTAAAAAGCGGAATCAGATGCTAAAGTCCTCAACATAGCTAAAAAATTTATAAGAATTTGGAAGCCAAAACCAGCAAAGCATCGACTATAATTAGGATACATTTGGTGTAATTTAAAACATTACCATGTAATTCAATAAGGGGAATGTGTTCATCAATTGTATTCTGGAGTTAGGTTGAAATTTATGTGTGAGAAATGATGGAGGCGTGCAAGAGAAATGAAATCCTTATAATAAAATTACACATTCATTAAAGTGCAAACAACCCTGAAATCTGATAAGCAGCTATCTTTTAGGTCAGAACATCAGAAAGAGATGCTTACAGTGAAATTTGCAGATTCTTTATCTTTTAGAGAATCAGCTTTCTGTTGCTGTGTATAACAGAGGGAGGAATCAAGTTCCATAAGCCTTAGTGCAACAGCAGGTGTTGTGTGAGGAATCCAAGGTAACACCGGCATCCTCTCCAGATTGGAGGTGCTAACAGCCCCCAACAACTCAGTTGTAGTTTCATAATCTGACATTAAATACTCCCTTTTGATAGCACCTTCCAACAACGTCAGAATCTAAGAGATACAAACAGGAAAAGGTGGTTAACAACATTGCATTAAGATTTAGAAAACTTTTACGGTAAATGTGCTAGAAGAACCCAATGGTAGAAAGGAAAAGAAAACAATAAGGTCACATAGGTGTGTTTTTCATTGTTGATGCTTAAGCAGTGAGTCTCAGTAATTATTATGTCTGTAAATGTTCTCTCTTTTTTTATGAAGAGATCTCTGTAAATTTTGGTAAGTTACAATTCAAGTTGATAAGAATGATCAGCAAGCAGGTAGTCCTATGTGTCATAAACAGAAATTATCGACAAACAGAGGACCTGAAGTAGGTCACCAGCTGCTGAAGCAATATGCAACTTTAAACCCCAGGATCTTCGATATACCTCTGACCAAACAGGCTCAAGAGCTTCAGGAGGAATGCAGGCCTATAAAGCAAATATCACCTTCCGTTAATTCAAAAGCTCATACAGATGAAGTCACAAGTAATATGCACGTTCAGAAGTCAATAAGGGAGAGCGCGACCAGATATGATAGTAGAAAAGAGTATGTTACCTCCATTGAAGCTAACTGCGCTCTTAGCAATCTAATTTGAAGAGGAGGTGCTGCGTCCGAGATAAGAGGGCGAAATAGGGCCTCCAATTTGTCTTTGCATTGAGCTACATGCTCCATAAAACATGAACTCTTTGCTGGACTGAATGTCGTATGACAACAACGACAGTGGTTTTCTTCCAAGAAGTAAGTGTCATAGCAATTATTACAAATACTGATCAACTTTTCACATCTCATCTTTCCATACTTCCTTGCACATAAAAACTGGGTATTAACACATTCTTCCCACATCCACTTCTCTAGATCTGCATATCTACTCAAGGCATCAGAGTTCTCCATTTTGTTCCTCCCAATCCCAATACGAAAGGAAGTTGAAGGTTCTGATGTTTCGCAGTTTGAGATACAGATTGTGCTTTTAGGGCTACCAGTTTTTGAACAACAATCATTGCTAGGTACTGTTTCAGAAGTATCCGCTTTGACGGGATTTCCAACTTTAGCTTCAGTGTACATATACCTCCTAGAAGTTTCCTTGAAAGTTGCTTCAATATTTTGAAGCATTGAATGCAAATGAGATTCTCTAATTCCACGTACATCCAAAGAAGCCATTAAAGCATTGAAGTCCTACACGTAGAAGAAATAGATTTTCACAAATGATATTTAGGAGCCTTGTTGATCATGAGCCTATAGTATTTTGGGAGCACAAACAAATGAATGTGGAGACCAATATGTTACTTCATTAGCTTAAGAAATATAACGTCGAACAAATTTAGAAAAGGGAAACATAATCCAAAAAATCCAACTGTGAAAGACAAGGGAGGAATGGCCTAGTGGTAAGGACCCTCCACCAAAACATAAGGATGGTGGTCCAAACCATCAGGAGAGCGATGTGTGAAAAGGCCACTGTTGGCTCCTGGACAGAGGCTTTTGGGATTTTTATTTTACCATATAAAAAGGGGAAAAAGCAGTATGTCTAATGATAATCCACAACTCCACATAAATCTAGATGAAGTATTGAGATAAAATTAACCCCCCCTCCCCAAAATAAATAACAGTAACCAGCCCACAAAAGCTGCTGATACAGAAGGTTGAAATGAAGAATATTTTACTACCTTTTCAGAATCAATTAGTCTCCATCTACCATCACGTAGCTCAACAAAAATCCTCCCAGAGCCTGGATCATTTCGAGAGGGCGACGTGACAAACTGCCAGTACCGGTTACGTCTGCGATCTTGACCAAGGGGCAGAGACCGATAAACAAATGTCTCTTCCGCCCTATGGCTGATATAAGCTTTCAGCTGGGAACGCGACTTTTCAGCAACATATGCAAAATGCTGGAATTGCGAATTATCCTGGCCTCCATAAATCTCTTGCATTGGGCAAGCCTTTTCTACAGCAACATTTCTAGAATTATTGGATTCATCTGGCAATTTATGCATGGCTTCCTGCTGAAGTGAACGTATGGCTGCTACATCATTGTGGCCATCAACAGCAAGAAGAGGACTTTGCCTGGCCTCCCTGGAAGTAACCGAGCAGAACCGTTCAGCGTTGTTGCTAACAGATGGATATTGAACCTTCAGTAAAAACTCCTCTTTGAAACGACGTTTATCGAGCTGCGCCTCAGCCCAAATCTGCTTCTTCAATGCAGATGCAGCTTCTAGTCGCTCCTGAAAAGATTTCACACTAGGTTCACTGATAGGAAAATTGACAAGGAAAACATCCAACACACCATTATCAACAAACCTCTAATACAAGGCGAATAGAATTCCCCTCATTTGCAACACCAATCAACGCGACAAGGGCATCTAGGCGCTCTTCAACGGTTAAATCAGAATACTCCCCTTCTATAAGCCCTTGAACCCATTTCTGACCAGCGTTGCTTTCATCAATCACTACATCTTCTTGATTGAGACTACTTGAATCAGCACCAATTGCGGCTGATTGACTACCAGAAGTTCCTATGGGTTTTAACTCTCCAAAACTTTCTGAATGCATTATTCCGGTGGAATTCTGCAGACAAACATCTCCTGGTGTTTGTGTCAAGTCAAAACGTAAAATTTCTGATACATCTTCAGTAGAATTCATTCCGTCAGTTCTGTCGGTTTTATGGGATTGAGGAGTCTCCGCGAATTTTAACTCCGAGACTAAATCATCAACCTCAGGATCATCAGCAGCATCACTTTCAGATTCATCATCCCTTTCAACCTCTTTCTCAACATCCTCTGCTTCTTCTCCATTCACACACTCATTTTTGAACACTCGGATTTTTTCCCTAGCAGCAGAAAGAATGGCATCAGCATCAGCAGGATCTTTCCTGTACGGATCACGTAAACAATATGTTGAAGGAGCTGTTCTCTCGAAAAGCTTTGTATCTCTCGATAATGCAGCAGAAATAGACGCTTCAGGTGTCTTGCTGGTTGTCAGATCCCGAAGACCAGATTTCTTCAACCAAAAAAAAGAAAAATATAGTCAGCTAAAAGAGCAGCAGGAAACAGCATCACATGATCAACAAATTATCTAAATCTTTCAACAGCTTCCAGATAATAAGGATCACCAAAAATACCTGAATCTTTTCAGCAACGTCGAGGATATTAAGGCCCTTACTTCCCTCAAGGGAAAGAATATGAAATGCTGCAAATTTGACTGTTCCAGGTGTCAATCGATGCCTAGATCTCCGCGGATTAGAAAAACCCCTCTCTTGCAATTTGGCAACTGCTTTCTCAGCTGCAACTCCACTCCGTAAATTGGAAATGATATCTGCTCCATCATTACCCTGTAGTTGCAACCAAATTGGAGGTGACATGATAAAAGAACCCAACAACAACAACCCAGTAAAATTCCACTAGCGGGGTCTGGGAAGGGTAGTGTGTACGCAGACCTTACCCCTACCCCGAAGGAGTAGAGAGGCTGTTTCCGAAAGACCCTTGGCTCAAGAGAATAAAAAGACAAAAGGAGACAATATTAGTTTCACTACAGAGATCATAGGTAAAATAGGAACATAAAATGCAGAAAAAAAAATGCAAAGCAAAAACGATGGCTAGTAAATAGGTACTGCACCGAAAAGAGAAAATAGTAAGACACGACATTGCCACTAGCTATCTTAGACAAAAACCCTACCAGACTAGGTTCACAAAGGTACAAAGTAAGGCAAGACTCAACTACCTCCTAGCCTACAACCGTAATACTCGACCTCCACAACTTCCTATCAAGTGTCATGTCCTCGGAAATCTGAAGTCTCGCCATATCCTGCCTGATCACCTCTCCCCAATACTTTTTAGGCCGCCCTCTACCTCTTCTCGGGCACTCCATAACCAGTCGCTCACACCTCCTTACTGGAGCATCTGGTCTTCTCCTCTGTACATGCCCGAACCATCTGAGTCTCGCTTCCTGCATCTTGTCATCAATGGGAGCCACGTGCACCTTATCCCGACTCTCATCATTCCTAATCTTATCCATCCTAGTGTGTCCGCACATCCACCTCAACATCCTCATTTCAGCTACTTTCATCTTTTGGATATGTGAGTTCTTAACAGGCCAACACTCAGCCCCATACATCATGGCCGGTCTAGCCACCGCTTTATAGAACTTACCTCTGAGTATCGTTGGCACTCTCTTGTCACACAAGACTCCGGATGCTAACCTCCACTTCATCTATCCTACCCCAATACGGTGTGTGACATCCTCGTCGATCTCCCCTCCTCCGTGGATAATCGAGCCAAGGTACTTGAAGCTGCCTCTACTTGGGATAACCTGTGATTCAAGCCTCACATCCACGCCCACTTACCCAGCTCAGTACTGAACTTACACTCCAGGTATTCCGCCTTCGTTCTGCTCAGCTTGAAACCCTTAGTCTCAAGAGCCTGTCTCCAAACTTCCAGTCTATCGTTAACACCGGCTCGGGACTCATCAATCAGAACTATGTCATCGGCGAATAGCATGCACCATGGCACCTCCCCTTGAATATGGTTTGTTAACGCATCTATCACCGGGGCGAATAAGAACGGACTGAGCGCAGAGCCTTGGTGTAACCCCATTTCAACCGGAAAATGCTCAAAGTCGCATCCTACTGTCCTAACCCGAGTCTTAGCCCCATCATACATGTCCCTTATCTCCATAATATAGGGAACCGACACACTTTTTGCCTCCAAGCATCTCCAGAGAACTCTCTAGGAACCTTGTCATACGCTTTCTCTAGGTCAATAAACACCATGTGCAGATCCTTCTTTCTCTCTTTGTACAGTTCCACCAACCTCCTAACCAGGTGTATAGCTTCTATGGTAGAACGACCCGGCATGAACCCGAACTGGTTGTCAGATACAGACACCGTCATCCTCACCCTCGCTTCAACCACCCTCTCCCATACTTTAATGGTATGAATCAGAGATAAAAGAACCCACATTAACAAAAAAAAAAGGGAAGGGTACCACATTACATATGAGCTAATAAGTTAGATTCAATCTAGTCTTAATCTTTAGAGACAAAACAAACTGGGCATCTGAAGTACCTAATATACTCCCATCTGCCTAAGCCTTGATAGGCATAGTTACCCCGTATATGTATTGGCGGGAGGTGGCAGGTACCTGGTGGAATAGTCAAGGTGCGCACAAACTGGCACAAACACCACCGTTCTTAAAGAGAAAAGGAGTACCTAGTATACTAGTGTATTAAACGCTTTTCTTCCATGATCAGTACTAGAAGATAAATAGGAAAAATGTCTTGCAAAACACTAAATTAACCCAAAACATATATTTTTGTTTGGGGATCCTTGGCGCAGTAGGTAAAAGTTGATGTGTCAAGCCGCGAAAATAGACTCTCACAGAAATGCAAGGTAAGGTTGCATACATAAGACCCAATGTTGTCCACCCTTTTATGGACCGCCGCGAATAGCAGGAGCTAAGTGCACTTAGCTGCCTTTTTATTTTTTTTTTGGGATAAGTAACCCCAAAAGATACATTCAAAATCAACACATCAGTTTGCTAGATTGCTTAAAGGGAATAACATTACGAATTAAATTTTCAAGGAATTATACGAACAAAAGCAAGCAGTTAAATGGGAAAATGCTCAAGGTCGTCTTCCCCCCTTTAAGACCAAGCAAAGATGCTCAAACAGGTCTTAAGCAAACACGTGTCCTTCCACATTGAATATGCAAAAAGTTCACTGAAACAAGCCCATTAACAACCTTTTAACCTAGCTACCAGTGCAAGCTTTTTGCAAGCCAATATTGCAATCGACTGGCATTTATGATTTAATTAAGCTTAACTTGACAAGCCAATTTCTTATGGAGGAGAACAAAAGGAAAAGGAAAGGAAGATCATACCTCATTTTCATCACGTGGATATGCTGGTTCAACACTTTGTTTTTTTAGCTTCGGCCCAAAACCAGCAGACAGTGCAAATTGCCGCAGTATTTCAGGCCACGTCAGGGCATTCAAGTGGCTCTGCCAACTTCTTATGTCAAAACCCCATGCATATGCCTGTTACAAAGTACATCACTAGAACATTTCACAATGAGTGGAAAAAAAACCACATCACATTGCTAACCGGAGTAGCAACAAAGACCAATAACATATAAAAATCTACCCCTTCAACAATCTCAGGATGCCCGCCTCCAGGATTCGCTCCACTGTTTGGGTTTGCTCCTACTGCACTGGCAGGTGTTCTAGCAACATCTTCAATATCTTTTATTATCAATTTGAGAAGAGCAATATGTATCTCTGCGAGCAGCCTGGGATCCTGAAAGTAGTGTGTCCTAATGTTTCATATATGCAATTACCCTGGAAAAATTCAAAATTGTATCCAAATAAAGAAATGAGGAACTTACAAAATCATGAAATGCTTGTACAAACTCATCCAGAGTGAATGGCCAGAGACGAAGAACATCAGAAAAAGTAATTAAGAATCTCCAAACCTGGTGAGGAAGGGCAAAAGAAATCCATAAAAAATAATTATAAAAAAAGAATTCTTAGAAAGTGTCCCTATTCGTACTCCAAGCAACCCAGATGCTTAGAGGGCTCGGTTCACCATGAAATCTTGTCAAGAAATAACCCTGTAGGAGTTACATGGTTTTCATTCACTCCAGTCCAAATACAAGATTTTACTGTTGATAGGCAGGATGCAATGAGTAGCAACAGTGATGGCCATGAAACACAAGGGTTACCTATGGGAGCCAATACATTCATAGTAAGCTATGTTAGTACCCCCTGCCTTCCAAAATGTTATCAGCCTTTAAAATGTTGACATTTTAGGACGGACTTACTTTTGAATTAGTTAGAGATCTTGGTAAAATTACAACTGAAAAGCTTGAACCAAAATCGGGAGAGACCATAGCACACAATGACCTTTTTTTCCTTTTTTGTAAAAGTAGTGTTGCAGCCAACTTTCACATCGACAAATTCACTAGGTACCAACTACCAGATAACTCCGCCAATGATGGTACGGACAAATGGGAAAAATTCACCAGGTCAACACTGCTGGTATCCAAACCTTGATTCTCAACCACTGCACCCCCTTTGGGGCTATTGATGTATTCTATCATCGACATTTAATCCAAAACGCAATGGTATTTTCTTGTTCCTGAATGGTTTTGAGTCGACCGAGATTGCAGAGTTTGCCACTACCAGAGAGGGGTATCCTTTTGGGAAAACCCCAACCTCAAGAATCTAGTAAATTAAAACAAGGCAAGGACCTTCCATGCTCGTGGAAAGTAAAACTGTTGAAGGAGGATCTTACAAAATGTTTAAATAAAAGTTGAATCGTAGAATATCATGCCTTTTATACAAATAGACAACACCAGAATCGACCAAACAAGAGCTCCACCTCCTCAAAATTAAATACATAAAATGAACTGTGTGTTTTAAGAAGAAGCTAGCAAATGGTCTCACCATTAAAAGATTACCCACGTCCTCCTCAGAGCATATCCATGGCTCAACTCCAAATGGCTTTCTCAAGCAGACACTCTTTGGTGGAAATTCAATGAGCATATCTGAAGCATAAATTAATTTTGGATCAAAAGTCAGGAGCAACATATTGGTCATTTCTACTTCTCAAATATTCCTTCAAAACATGAAATAATGGAAAAAGAAAAAGGAACTGTGTTGTTCCCTTGGCTCATAGGTTTCGACTAAAGAGTGCTCATTTGAATGCAAACAGGCCATTCCAGTGTTATCAAAGGCGAAAAGCGCAAAAAAGCTCTAAGGTCTGTTAGGGCTTTAAGCGCAAAGCGTAAATAAAGCATGGGCTTTAAGGAAGAAAGGCTCAAATAGAGTAAAATTACAAATATGCATGTGTAGTCTAAGACTAATATCTATAAGCATGAATACCAAATATATGGACAAAAAAATTGAAGAGAATTTACGATAAAGTGAAATATCAATTGTTTAGTGTCACTTCTTCAGGATTATGCTTATTGGCAAGGAAAAGCATGCCTTAGCGCCTTGATGACAATACTGAAGCGCCCGTTAAGCGACGCTCAACGTGTTTTGAGCCTCGCTTTAGGGCTTAAGTGCGCCTTTGATAACACTGGGCCATTCAGTACATAATATGTCATTTAGCATGTCAATCAACTGTATCTGATAAGAGCATGATACTACTCATGCTCAAAGACCATCCACTCCCACTAATCATACAATAAAAAAGAAATAGAGAATTAAAGAAGAGAGAGAGAGAGATCTGTTTCTATTGAAAGACATCATTAGACACAAACATGCTGTAATCCGCAGGGAAAAGCATGAAAGCACTATCAGAAACAAAACAAAACAAATCATATGTAACATGGAAATTAAAGATTCACTTTTCCAAATGAGGAGAAGAAAAGCACAGTACTTCTTGACTCTTCTATGTTGGACATGCCAGGATGCACTATTCCGGACGCTAATATTAACAAAACTTTCACAAGTTTAAGAATACTTTTTTTCAAGTTAAAGAATTGAAATTCAATTACTTTAACTTCGAATGTGATGTTTTCTATATCCAACTAACTACTACACATAATATTCTTTACCTCCTTATATATTAGACAAGTCAAAGTAACATCTCAAACTATGCACCTAATCAAATAGTGTCACATGTAATGGGATGGTGAAAGTAGTATTCAGTAGTAAAGCCAAAAGCATTCTTTTCATGAAATAGCAGCACATAAAGGGCAACCCAGTGCACTAAGCTCCCGCTACGCACACAGTCCGGGGAAACGCTGAACCACATTGGATCTGTTGTATGTTGCCTTACCTTGCATTGCTGCAAGAGGCTGTGTACCAAGCTTATTTTTCAAGTCTAGCAAGTAAATTTCTGATCAATATACAAGAACAAACTTTTACTGCATGTTAGTATATGATCTGGGAACTACCTCTAAATGCTTCAAGGTTTTGTAGATTTTCACTGTCTAGTGACAAAATTGAGGGCAAACCCTTCTTTGAGGCTGCTAGCTCCATCAATTCCAGGCGCTCATCATCAACTAATTCCGTTGATTCTTTCGCAATTCTTCGGGCAGTAGCCCTTACATTAGCTGCTTTAAGCCTTGCAACCTCTTTCTCTCGGCGCATTTCTTCTTTAAGCCTCATTTTCTCTGCCTACAGGAGGTAAGGGAGGAAAATGAACTCCGTCTCCTGCCTAAAGCCATAGAAAATGGCATATCTCTGATAAAGAAATTTCAAAATTACTTACTTTTATAGTCTCTTTCTGCAAAAACTTCTCTCTTCGTTCTATTTCACGCCTTTGCTCACGCTGGAATCTCTCTTCTTCCCGCTGCTTTTCGCGGAGCAGTCTTTCTTCCTCTTTCCGCCTTTCCCTGTCTTGTCTCTCCATATCTTTCCTCAATTGCTCTTCTCTCTGAGGATAAACAATAAATAAGATTTCGAGTATTTAGACCACCTTCTACTACATTATGATTCTGTCGCAGAGGTTTAGGCCTTGATCTGAAACTTTAACATTCATTGTCTACTAGAACTGTGGTGGACTCAAATGGAAGGTTGGAGTTTAAGTAATCTGGGAGCTAGGGAAAAGAAGCTATGCAAGACATGTACATCTTGGGTTATTATGAAGAGAGAGAGAGAAGTAGGAGATATTTTCTAAAGAATTGAAACTCCGTGGTCAAGGTCATTGATTCTCTTTTGTTTCATTTGTATTTCTGGTTTAAACATAACATACCAACTGGTATAGATTGTTGGCCAGTCTTATGGGATGCTTATATACTGAACCTAGATAGTTTGTAGAGTTAGCACAATATTGGTGTAGCAATCATGAATTTTTTTTTATTTATCAAAAGAATAAATAAGATTTCAAGTAAATAACACATCCATCGCTACTCTCGACTGTATAACATTTTGTGATGAATAGGAGAGAGAGAGAGAGAGAGAGAGAGACCTTTCTCCGCAACATGTCTTGCTTCTCAAGCTCTTTCCGTATTCTTTTTTCATGGGCCTCCACTTCCCTTGCAATTCTCGCCTCTTCGCTCTGCAAGATATATGTGAACTATGAGGCCAAAACCTAAAAACAGGCTCTATGCAAGCAAAACCCTATGCAAGGAATTCATCCTTGTTACAGCAAAGCCCTATGCAAGGAATTCTGTCTACCTTTCTAGGGAAAAATTTTAAAAGATGATAACAAAATTTCATATGTAAGGTACAATATGTTTTTTTATAAGGTAAAATTTTATATGAAGGGTACAAAGCTGGTACAAAAGAAATGAAACTCATACAAAGACCAAACAGAAAAGCTGCAACTCTTTGCTTTCTAACAACTCTAGAAAATCCATGTATTAGTCCAGACTAAAAGATTGATAAGGTAAAATATGTTTTTATACACGCTCCTATACAAATTTTAAAAGAATATTAGCTTAAATAAGAAGAAGAAGAAGAAGAAGAAGAAGAGTAGGTATCTGTTGAAACCTTTCGCTTTCTCTCCAACCGTTCCTCATCATGGATGACTCTCGGCATAAACGGACTCTCCAATGCCATCATTGGCTGACCACCATAATGAGCCTCCACTTCTATGTTCACAAGAGATCTTTGGGGAACAGCATCAGCCTCTGCAGAAGCTGGAGATTTGTGACCCTGCTTCCCTTGAGGCAGAAGATTTAAAGTCGGGATCTGACCAGGAATACTGTATCCAGAGGCCACTTGTTCACTCCCATGCATAAATGACCTCCCAGTTGACAACATGGTTCTGGTGCTCTGAACTTCAATTGAACTGTGATAATGAGATGGTACAGATTGTTCATAGGCATCGCTTCTAATTGATGGTTGTTCTGGAAGAAACTGGTATTCGTGCAAAGTCCTTGTAGTACCCTGGCATGAAATTTCTGAATTGTTAATTATCCTCAGTACTATAGGAGTTAATCCTACATCTACATGTCATTAAGATCCTTCTGATCTAAATCAGAAAATGCTATACCTCACAAACATATAAAAACGACGAGGGTCTTTTGGAAAGAGCCTCTTTACTCCTCCGGGGTAGGGGTAAGGTCTGCGTACACTCTACCCTCCCCAGACCCCACTAGTGGAATTTTACTGGATTGTTGTTGTTTTTGTTGTTGTCACAAACATATAAAAACATCTTTTCCTTTTTCATTTATCTAGCTCCAAAGTTTAGTTATTTTAGAAAAAATATAAAGCAAGCATTTTATGTGCCTTGACAAGCCCTTAACTATGCTATGCTCTTCTTTCCTTCATCAGTTTGTGACTGTTTCCAACCCTTAAAGATACAAAAGCAACGAAAGGATTAAGACAAGAAAAGAAATGCAAAAAAGAGTTTAAGGAAACATACATAACTGTGTGTTCACAATCAGAGAGATGGCTAATGTCTGACACAAGTCTCGTGTCTGTATTTGTGCAACTTGGCAATATTGCTATTCAACAAATCAAGCAAGTCTAGAAGTTCAACAACAACAACAACAACCTGGGGTACAGTTGAGATCTTTCACCTAAGACCAACCTACACTCTAATTTATTTTTCAATCAATAGTAGATAAAAGGTATCAGCCTCTACTAAGAAAACAATTGTTTAGATAGTAAAAATTTATTAATGTAGTGCAAGTGGTATATAAAAGTAGAACCTAAAGGAAGATATAGTTCTCTATAAACACCACCAATTATCTAAAGCTAATAGGAACCTCGGCGAAGATTTCTACTAATGTTATTCTAATCATCTTCCATGCTTTTTAACTGATACAAGCACCAAACAATACTTTGTATGCTTCATTCTTCATACAAATGTTACATCTCATCGCGTCTCTAATCAGACTTATTACTTGTTTTATGAAAGATTGCTGACCTTGATTGAATTAACATCTGGTCTCTCATAGATTTGGGCTTCAAAAGGTCTCCCAACCGGCTTGTGCTGCATAGCTGCCACTGTTTCATGCAAAACGGAAAGCATTCATCAACTCTGAACATGCCTTCATAACATTAGGGGCTACATATGTAAGAATATACAACTGAGCAAAATAACCAACAGAAATGAAAACCAGGAAAATTGACCAGAACTCATTCTTTACACTTTCTGAACTAGCAGGAGCATATCAACTTACAGAAATGCAATACACATGAGAGACTGGTGAGACAGATATATCGACAAAAATTTGATATACTACTATGCCTATACAACTTCTACCCTCAAAGGAAATCACATATCCTTTAAGTTTATCAGTGTTCATCCAATTGAGGCTGCAATTAATTCCCTTAGGGCTAGGCCATGGAAAGCAGTCGGCATCTCTTCTTCTTCTTTTTTTGGTCTTGGAAAAGTAATATGGAAAATCAGGCAGTTTTACAGGTAGATCAACAGCACATTTTTCAAAAGAAGAAAAAGCAAAGAAGTATATTCCTGCTAATCCTCAAATAAATCCAACATAAAAGACAGTAAGGGGCCGTTTGGTTTGTGAACAAGGAATTAAACAATGATAGGATAATTTAGTGGATATATATTTATTTGTAGATATTGGGTTTATTGGACTAAAAATAGGATATAATGGTATAATATAAAACAATGTGTTTAGTTAAACTAGATAAACTTGGATAAAGTTTTAACTCCAATTTAACCTTAGCTTTTTGAAAATACTATGGGAAAATTGCTGTGGAGAAGGGCAAATGTGTCTTTTTGTTGTTCTATGCCATGATTAGTATAGGATTGTTGTCCCATTAGAGTGTCGTATAAAAATAATGCCACAATTATAGTATAAAAAATCCCAGGATCATTAATTCCAGAATCAACAATTCAACCAAAACTGGGATAAAATAATCCCCCATTTGATCCCAGGATTACTTTATTATCCTTGTAATTATGACTCCTAATTGCTGATTCATGTGCACAAAGGTGTCTTTTCTCAAGACTAGTTTGCCATTAGCACTTCTCACCACCAAAAGTTAAAAAAGCTCGCTGTATTTTAGATGAAAGGTAAATGGATATGTTACTGAGGACCAAGAACTGGAAAGTCTTTGAAATTAACTATACATGTTTTTTCCAAATAGAATGAAAATTAACTTTCATCATGCTTTAAGTAATCAACCGGGCATAGTTCCAGCAGCAAGGTTGAGGCCAGAAAAGCAATTAAATGTCCCCCATTTGTCTAATGTACCATTTTCCTAGCGGATGGTTCACATTTGTTTTTTTGGAGTCGCTTGGGCTGGGCTGAGGGAGCTTCGTAATGGCTTGTCTAGAGCCCGCCAACAAGACCCAATCCTAGCTTTGGACTTACTGTTAATGATAATAAAGCTCTAATTTCTTCTTTTGAAGATTCTAAAAGAATTACTCGACCATAAGAAGGTGGCATGGAAAGGGGACAAGTAGCATTGCCTGGTTCTTTTTTGTTTCCATATCTCAGCAAGTAAGTGATTTGTAATATAAAATCTTTATAAATTTTTATAAAAATTTATTCTCATTGTTTCGCTCAAAACTATTTATGCAGTTTCATAATTATTCAGGAACACTTGGGAGCGACACGCTGCTGCTCTATACTGTAAGGAATACAACATTTGGCCTTCACATCATGCCTCTTAGTGGATTAACATAAATGAAACTAGGAAATTTGCTTTAGAAACGCGACGTTACTTAACATGACTGTTAGTTAGTTAGTTGTTATGTAAATAAGCATAGTCCTACGTGGTTGTTATAAATAAGGGTACTTATATTATAGTTAGGGTACATTAATAATATAATTTTCCCGTGTCATGTTCTCACATGTATCAGAGCAGCAGTGAGAAAACATCTGGGAAAGGGAACCAAGCCGAAACAGTTGTTGTGCTTCAATTCCGGCGACTTTTTAGGGTTGTTTTTTCGCCAAAACCAATTTCCATCGGTGCTGTGCAAAAACCACCGCCACAAGGTCCCCCAACCCCCGGAGACCAAACCCCAGCAAATACCTCCGGCAGTCGACGCCTCACGCGCCGCCACGCCGACCGGAGAGAGTTTTTTCCGACAAGATCTACTCCACGCGCAGGCGCATGGAGCCCTTTCCGACCATTTTTTCAAAACCCTTCTTTAGAACAGTTGGATCGCCCTATAATTCCGAACCTACCCATAATTTTCTTTTTTGATCCGAGCACTTTGAAAATTTTCCGGCAACCACAATAGTTTTCCGGCAACTACAGTATTTTTTCCGGCAATTTTCCAGCAACTACAGTTGATTCTTTGTTTTATTTGGTGCTAATTTGCTAGACCTCTTTTCAATCCAACAATGTCTTTGGGAGTCGATGTATTTGGGTCTAAAAACACGGGTTCTGGAAGTTCCGATATTATGATTACCTCAGAACTTTTAATGGGAAGTTCAAACTACTTAGCTTGGGCTTCGTCTGTCGAGTTGTGATGTAAAGGTCAAGGTGTTCAAGATCATTTAACAAAAAGGGCTAGCGACGGTGATGAAAAGGCCAAAGCACTTTGGGAGAAGGTCGATGCTCAGTTATGTAGTAACCTGTGGTGATCTATTGATTCCAAATTGATTCCCTTGTTCCGTCCATTCCAGACATGTTATTTAGTTTGGGAAAGGCTCATACTTTATACACTAATGACATATCTCGTTTCTATGATGTAATATCGCGAATGACAAGCTTAAAGAAACAGGAATTGGATATGTCTACTTACTTGGGACAAGTAAAGGCAGTCATGGAAGAACTTGAGAAGTTGATGCCAGTTTCTCCTAGTATTGAAAAGCAACAAGAGCAACGACAGAAGATGTTTCTAGTTCTTACACTCGCTGGACTCCCTAATGACCTTGATTCAGTATGTGACCAGATTTTGGCTAGTCTGACTGTCCCCACAGTTGATGAATTATCCTCTCGAATACTTCACCTTGCTGCAGCACCAAGTCACCCAATGATCTCATCACAGACACTTGACTCCTCTGTTTTTGCATCCAGATAGTGGAAAATCGAGCATCTCAAACTATGGAGAACAGACGATGATGAGGTCGTTTTGGAAGATCTAAACTCAAGTATTCTTATTGTCATAAACTTGGACACACTCGTGAAGTGTGCTATTCTTTACATGGTCGACCACCCAAAAATGCTTATGTTGCTCAGACCGAAACTACGGGTAACTAGGGATTTTCTTTATCTGAAGGAGAATATAATGAGTTTCTTCAATATCAAGCAAGTAAGCAGACATCTCCACAAGTAGCCTCAATTGCTCAGACTGATACTTCTATTGCTGGTAATTCTTTTGCTTGTCTCCCAATCTAGTACTCTTGGACCATGGGTCATGGACTCAAGCGCTTTTGATCATATCTCTGGTAATAAATCATTTTTGTCGAATATTGTGTATTCACAATCTCTTCTCACTGTTACTTTAGCCAATGGGTTTCAAACTAAAGTAAAAGGAGTTGGACAAGCCAATCCCCGATTTCTATCACTCTAGAAATGTCCTTGGCTGCCCTTTTAGTCTTGCATTTGTTAATCGTTTGACTCGTGCCTTCCATTGTGGTATATATTTTATTGATGATTCTTTTATTATGCAGGACCGCAATACGGGACAGACGATTGGCACAAGGCGTGAATCAGAAGGCCTTTACTACCTTAACTCACTCAGTCCCTCCACAGCATGTCTAGTTACAGATCCTCCGGACCTAATTCACAGTCGTTTAGGACATCTGAGCTGATCCAAGCTTCAGAAGATGGTGCCTAGTTTGTTTACATTAGATTTGAGTCGTGTCAGCTTGGGAAACATACCCGAGCCTCCTTTCCGCGTAGTGTTGAGAGTCATGCAGAATCTGTTTTCTCTTTAGTTCATTATGATATATGGGGTCCTAGTAGAGTCAGTTCACCTTGGGATTCTGTTATTTTGTTAGTTTCATTGATGATTATTCAAGATGTACTTGGCTTTTCTTAATGAAAGATCGTTCTGAGTTGTTTTCTATAATCCAGAATTTTTGTGTTGAAATCAAAAATCAATTTGGTGCTTCTATTCGCACTTTTTGCAGTGATAATACCTTAGAATATTTATCCTCTCAGTTTCGGCAGTTTATGACTTCTCAAGGAATTATTCATCAGACATCATGTCCTTATACCCCTCAGCAAAATAGGGTTGCAGAGAGAAAGAAGAGGCACCTCAATGAGACTGCTCGCACACTTCTCATTGAATCTCATGTTCCGTTGCGTTTTTGGGGCGATGCAGCTCTCACACCTTATTATTTGATTAATCAGACGCCTTCACCTCCCATCGAGAATCAAGTTCCGTACTTAGTATTGTTTCCCTAGTCACCCTTTATACTCTCTTCCCCCTCGTGTTTTTGAGAGCACATGTTTCATTCATAACTTAGCCCCTGGAAAAGATAAGTTAGCTCCTCGTGCTCTCAAGTGTCTTCCTTGGTTATTCTCGTGTTCAGAAGGGATATCGTTGTAACTCACCTAATCTTCGTACGTACCTTATGTCAGCTGACGTCACATTTTTTGAGTCTAAACTTTTCGTTACCTCTTCTGATCACCTTGAGATATCTGAGGTCTTACTTATACCGACCTTTGAGGAGTCTACTATAGCTCCTCCTCCACCTTCAGCCACAGAAGTCTTACCCATACCAACCGTTGAAGAGTCTAGTGTCGCTCCTCCTAGATCACCAGCCACAGGAACACCACTCTTGACTTATCATCATCGTCCGCGCCCAACTTCAGGCCCAGCTAATTCATGTCCTGCACCTGACCCTGCTCCTACTACGGACTTGTCTCTTCCTAGTACACCGATTACACTTTGGAAAGGTATACAGACCACTTTTAATCCTAATCCCCATTATGTCGGTTTAAGTTATCATCGGTTGTCATCACCCAATTATGCTTTTATATCTTCTTTGTCATCTGTTTCCATCCCTAAGTCTTCAGGTGAAGCATTATCTCATCTAGGCTGGTGACAGGCTATGATTGACGAGATGTCTGCTTTACATATGAGTGGTACTTGGGAGCTTGTTCCTCTTCCTTCAGGTAAGTCTATTGTTGGTTGTCGTTGGGTTTATGCAGTTAAAGTTGGTCCGGATGGCCAGGTTGATCAACTTAAGGCCCGTCTTGTTGCCAAAGGATATACTTAGATATTTGGGCTCGATTACAATGATACTTTCTCTCCCGTGGCTAAAAGAGCATCAGTCCGCCTTTTTTTATCCATGATTGTTGGTCGCCATTAACTTCTCTATCATTTGGACATTAAGAATGTTTTTCTTCACGGTGACCGAGGATGTAGTTTATATGGAGCAACCACCTGGTTTTGTTGCTCAAGGGAGTCTCGTGGCCTTATATGTTGCTTGCGCCAGTCACTTTATGGTCTAAAGTAGAGGTGGCAAAATGATTAAAAGAAAATAGTTATCCACCCATAATATCCATTAAAAATGAGTTGGATAATGAACTTTTTAAAAACGGGTCGAATATAGATAAAATGGTTAACCAAATGGATAACAAATGAATAACTATTTAACTTTTACATTTGTAAAGCCTCAAATTGGGGGTTCCTCAAGTTTGGAAGACTAGAAATTCTCCCACAAGTGATTATAATTAATAAGACATGGATATCCATATTATCCGTCGGATAACCCATTTTTATCCATCTAAAATACGGGTCGGGTCGGGTAATTCATCTATTTTTGAATTACCCGTTTTCGACCAGTACATATCCGACCTGATCTGCCCGTTTGCCACCCCTAGTCTAAAGCAGTCTCCTCGAGCCTAGTTTGGTAAGTTCAACACAGTTATCCAGGAGTTTGGCATGACTCGGAGTGAAGCTGATCACTCCGTGTTTTATCGGCATTCTGCTTTAAGTCTCTGTATTTATCTAGTGGTCTATGTTGATGATATTATTATTACCGGCAATGATCAAGATGATATTACTAAATTGAAGCAACATCTCTTTCAACACTTTCAGACAGATTAAAGTATTTTCTAGGTATTGAGATTGCTCAGGTATTGTGATCTCACGACGAAAGTATGCCTTAAACATTCTTGAGGAGAAACAAATGACAGGGTGTAGACCTATTGACACTCCAATGAATCCGAATTCTAAACTTCTACCAGGACGGGGGGGGGGCTAGCAATCCTGCAAGATATAGGCAGCTGGTTGGTAAACTAAATTATCACACAGTGACCAGACCTGACATTTCCTTTCATGTAAGTGTTGTAAGTCAGTTTATGGATTCTCCCTATGATAGTCATTGGGATGCAGTTGTCCGCATTCTTCGTTATATAAAATCCACTCCAAGTAAAGGGTTATTGTTTGAGGATCGAGGCCATGAGCAGATCGTTGGATACTCATATGCTGATTGGGCGGGATCACCTTCTGATAGACGTTCTACGTCTAGATATTGTGTTTTACTTGGAGCAATCTGGTGTCTTGGAAGAGCAAGAAACAAAATGTAATTGCTCGGTCTAGTGCAGAAGCAAAATATCGAGCAATGGCTATGGCAACAAGTGAGCTAGTTTAGATCAAATAATTGCTCAAAGAGTTGAAATTTGGTGAAATCAGCTAGATGCAACTTGTGTGCGATAATCAAGCTGCCCTTCATATTGCATCAAATCTGGTGTTCCATGAGAGAACTAAACACATTGAGATTGACTGTCACTTCGTCAGAGAAAAGATACTCTCAAAATATATTGCTACAAAGTTTGTGAAGTCGAATGATCAGCTTGCAGATATTTTCACCAAGTCCCTCACCGGTCCTCGTATTAGTTATATATGTAACAAGCTCGGCACATATGACTTGTATGCACCGGTTTGAGGGGGAGTGTTAGTTAGTTAGTTGTTATGTGAATAAGCATAGTCCTACATGGTATAGGAGTAGTGTAGGTATTGTGTATTGTTATAAATAGGGGTACTTGTATTATAGTTAGGCTACATTAATAATATAATTTTCCCGTGTCATATTTCTCACAATGACTACACTTGCAATAAGATTAACAGATCTAATAGTCACATGCCAAGATGCAAAAACCTCCTACTAATCATGCTTGTTGTACGTTGGGCACCTTTAGAAAATATTTTCTTTGATCAAGTAAAAAATAATTTTATTAATAATTTGAGAACTCCTGATAGAGTCTAAGAAAATTATACGATTCTCTACCAAAGACACCTAATCTTATGAGCAAATCGGAACCTCATGGGTGCACCAAAAAGATAATTAAACCAGGATAATCAAATGTGCAAAATCAAGCTAAAAAGAAGCTCTTATTTTTTTTATGACGATAGTGTCTCGACCAACTCGCGCACCTCGACTATTCCACCAGATACCTGCTACCTCACACTATCATAGGTACCGGAAAATTTTGCACACCAAAGCTCAAGGCTCAGGAAGATGGGAAGAAATCATTCTTGCCTCCGTTAGGTTTTGAACCTGAGACAGGTCTCCTCCCACTTCATTGACCACTATTTCTGTCCACATAAGTGCTAGCGGAGCAATATCCCAACCCCAGCATCTTCTCTTCCCCATCCTATAAAGGCCCAGCTAAAAAGTGCAACCTTCACGGTACCCAGCTTGGTCCGTAGTATCAGAACCATCTTAAAGTCTCCCATCATAGACAATTTTCTTTGTGGTCCAGGGATCCAAACTGATAGAAGAGAGAAACTCGATTCCTCTCAAGCTATCAACTTAAAGTAGAAACTCTTTACTGAGAATCATCTACTGCTCCCTAATACCCATCTCCAAGAATCCTAGCTCCATACCAGTAAGATCTGTTTATAGAGCATTTCAAGCAGACTTTGAAACCCTGCTATCTCCTAGTCATGAAGGTTCCTTCTAAATTTGAGATCCCAAGTTACGCTCCCCTTTTAATAGCACTACTTTAGTCGAAGAAAACCTGATAAGTTAATATGCATGTTCAGAAGTATAAATGTTTGCTCATTGTTAACAAACCATTTGAGTTACATTAAGGTTAAAATAAAATAGAGAACAAAGTCTAATTACTTGTATCAGCAAAGAGGAATGTAAAACTGTAGAGAAATCTCAGCATCTGGAGTCTCAGGCTCTCAACTTATTAGCGTACATCCATATTAGAGTGACCATATTAGAGTCTCAGGCTCTCAACTTAGAGATATCGTCATTGAAATTTAAAGATGACACCTCTACTCAGATAAATTTGTACTCGCTCACTTCTCACTTTCCAAGCTTCCTAAAAGTGACTCAGTCAAAAAAAGTAGGCTGCCACCACTTGTATCACTTCCTAAAAATTCAAAGTAATTACATCAAAACATTGCACGGCTAGGAATAGCACACACTTGTTAATTTTCTGCAAAATTTTGTTTATGGTTAGTATTGCCGAGTAGAAGCCTTATGCCATCAACATATCAAAGAAGGTGCAAGTAAATAGGAAGACTTGAGCACCGCCTGACTATCTTCAGTCGGCAGAACAGGATCAGAAACATCAAAAAGCACCTTGATAGGCAACATAGTACGAATTTGAGGAGTATAGGTCCAATGCCAGAAACATAGCAAAGCAGATGGAAGTAAATTAACACATGAGTATTACAAACTATCACAGTTGAAGAATAAGATCATAGATATCACTAAACACTTTTGATAGGCCTACTCAATAGTCATCAAACTTCACATACATTGCAAGGCTGCAGTTCTTATAAGAGAAAGGCAATGACCAAGTATGGGAAGTAATTTACCGATTGGTGCACCAAATGCACCGGGTGGTAAGGGGTCAAACTCCATTCCTAGGATAGGCCCATCTTCCCTTAACGGCTGCCCCAACTGTGCCTCCACAAATGCGATTGCCCGAAGCTCGGATATGGCCTGAGGTGGCTCATAATATCTCTTCAAAGCTGGCATTTCAGTTCTAAACCTAGGAACTGCAGTTCCGGGTCGATGAGCAACTCGCTGTTGATGGTGCTGTTGTTGCAGCTGCAAGTCCATGAGACCAAGCGGACTTACTCTTGAACCAGAACCAGAAGCATGTTTCTTCCCAGTTTCACCACTCACTGCCATTTCATCAACCATTGCTACAGGTGAAGCTTCCTTCTTCTGCCGCTTCACCGGCGTAGTAGCTTTCCTGTCCTTGAGCCTCCTATGACAGAACCACATCTGCAGTTGCCTATCAGAGAGCCCTAATTTTACTGATAACTCTGCTCTCAATGCTTCTGAAGGATAAGTTTCAACTACACAAAAAAAAAATTAAAATTAAAGTCAAGTCCATCAAATAAACAGCCTAAAACTCCAAATGCAACAAGAAAACAGCATTAATACCAAACCAATAAACAATTAAAACCCAAAATAGGGAAGATTAATAAAAAGTAAAGATTGAAAAGAGAAAGATAACACACCAGTATAAGTGTTCTCAAGAATCTCTAACTGAGAAGCTGTTTTCATTTTGCGCTTAACCTTAGGCTCCCCCCCTTCTGGAAGCTTCTTTTTCTCAACATCAGAACTTCCACTGCCTCCACCAGCAGCAGTAGCAGCAGCAGCAGCACTACTATCAGGCTCCATTCCAACAACAAAGATCAAATTTCTAACTTCTTTCCAAATAAATTACACCTCCAATGATCAAAATGAAACTAAAAAATAGCAGCAGCCACCATTTGGGGCACATCAAAATCTCATCTTTTTAACTTCTCTCTCTAAATTAGGGTTAGAGCAGATAGATAGAAAGAGAAAAGAGGAATTGGGGGTGTTGCTTTTGGTATTGACGAAAAGACAGAAAATTAAACACACCCACAAAGTTTATTACTCACAACTGAACGCATTATCTATTCTCTCTCTCTCTTGCCCCCAAAAAGTAAAAAAGACTGTGATTGAGATGTGTGGTGAGATTTGAGGAATATCGATAATAAATAACTCGCCTCTCTTGAATTGATATTATTATTATTGCCAACAGCAGTTGTACTAGTACTAGTAGTACTAATACAAAGTAGATAGAAAGAAACAAATGAAATTAAAGAAGAATGATGAACACACAAAAACCCACCCATCAAAAATCTTTTCTTTTCTTGAAAATTGTTACACTCACATGCAAATATGAAATGAATATAGTATATATTTGACTCTGTCATTCTCCGTGTGACTGATGTAAAAGAGATTAGACAAAAAGAAAATGAAAAAGAGAAAGAAAAAAAAAGGGAATTTCTTGGTATAAAATTCTTGTGGTATAAATATATGGGATGACTTTAAGGGTTAGTATTGTCAGATGCTTTGAAATCCAACGCTTTGATTCACAAATGGGCTTGTGCCTTTGTGCTTTCAGAGTTTTCTTCCTTTCTCTCTCTACAACTCTCAACTCTCAACTCTCTCTCTCTTCATATATAAAAGGACCGACCGGTTTTTTCTTCTCATTTTGTTCGTTACTTTTGTACTAAGATCTGGTCGAGGATTTCAGGTATAAACGAATCGCCTTGTTGAGAGTGTTACACACTCGCCACAGTTGCCGTTGGATGGGAAGTAAAAAGGTATCTGAGAGCGCGTGTGTCCAATGTAAAGACAAAGTCGAAAGCGAGATGAGTTCAGTTTCTTTCCCGCATTATGATGTGGGGTCCAGCTAATGGGAGTGTTTGCATTTTTATCGTTAATTTTACGGCGTGTTAGTGGAAAAATGATTTATCTTAATATAAAATATGCAGCTAAGCATGGTTTGATTAATGAGTCAAAGGGGTCTAATTAGGGGTGCTTATCGGACGGATAATTACGCTTAGCAATTCAACGTATCAGTTATCGGATTATAAATATACTAATCCACTGGTCATCTAATAAGACAACGGACGGATTGGTAGTGGATTAACAATTCTCGAGTGATTATCGGCGATTTATCGGCGGTTTATTGGCTAAACCAAGTAGAATTTTTTTGAAGAATCATTCATCAATACCAAACGGTTTCAAATCCATATCAAAATTTTAATACCATCTGAGATCTAACAGTATTTTTTAAATTGAAGAGTCTTCTGCCAAGTTCCAATCTAGATCATATTCAAGACTACTCGTACACTTATGAATCAATCAAATTTTCAGTACCATTCGTTCTTCACAATAAATCCAAATTGTAAAACCAAAAATCTAGAAAGTCAGTCTTTAATTTGTTAGATGCATGCAAAAAAGGACATAAAACCATACAATCTAAGATTATGCAAACACGTGTGGAAGAAGAATTAAAAGGAATGCATGAGATGAAAATATTTTAAAAAAAATGAGAAACATAAAATATTTTTATGCTGGGGAGACATTAAAAAGTGAAACACAGAGTGTGCTGCAAATGACTCCAACAGCAGCGGACAATGTCTAAAGGATTTCATGTGTTTCTTCGGATAGAAAGGATGTAAGCAATTTTGCTTACTTTACGCCTATGACCCTATTATTTCGTGAAGGTAGAAAAATTATTTTCGAGATTTTCAGTTCAAGTAAAATATATTCTCGATATTCATGAAAAAGAGATACAAATAATGGACGGTAGCGCAAGGAAGAAATCCGTAAAAGTGTTGTTTGACTGTCTTTTCTCGGTATTAATTGACAGTCATTTTTAATACAATTTAAATAATTGGAAATCCAGAAGAAAGAAAACGAGATAGTTTCCACACAATTACAAAGGTACTACAAAATTTTCATACAACTCTATTCTCTAACTTGTTTGAACATGTAGTGTAGGTTAGGGTGAACTACTTTCAATGTAAAGAAAACCTTTTCAAATGTTTGGTAAACATATTTAATAGTACTTTAAGTTTTATATATTGTGTCTAAAAGTACATTTGAAACTTCCTAAACTGATTTTCATTCTTTTTGTGGTACACATTACACTACTACCTACTTAAACTTTTACGTGGAGTCCAATTTTGCGTCACCTGTTGAATTTGTATTCTTTTTAAAAAAAAAATTAACTGATACCCAATTCTTTAATAACTTCATATACATATACTTTTCTCTTCTTCTTTACTGTTGTTTTCTTCTTCTTTGTGCTTAGAGTTTCTTCTTCTTCTTAGTTGAAAAATAGGTTTGTTAAATTTATTATTGTTCTGATAGTTTGATGATTGAGATTTATTGTTTATAATATTTGAAAATTATGTTTCAAATTTGAGCTCATTTCTAGTAGATTGGCATTGAATCATGTATTGAATTGTCTGAAATTGCATTGAAAAGATTGAACTGTTTCAAATCCGAACGGATACACTTTCCAAAATTTTATGCAATACCATTATAACTTCAATGGTGGCCCCAAAAGTGAGTATATATGAAAATGTCCCACCGAGTACTTCTACATAATTTTTAATGAACTAATTTCCTTTTCTTTTTTCCTGTCTGGAAAAGTGATTCCGGAGATAGTAGCACTTCGTAATGTCGTATGAAGTAGACCAACGCCCATATTTGTATGGTATAGGGCCGCCCTAGACTTACATTCAAATTAAGTAAAAATAGCACGGGCTAGTCAGTTTTTGGACTAGTTATTCAAAAATAGCCAGCGTTATATTATGCTGGACCGGTATATTATACTGGAACTCCAGTATATTATACTGGAGTATTTTTTCGGATTTTGAACAGTATTTTCGTTCAAATTATCTTTACATGAAAAGTGGCTAAATTTTGATTACTTTTAAAATTGTGATTATTTTTGAACGATCACTTGTAAATCTGGCTATTTTTGAATTTCTCCCTCAGATTAATAGGCCTGAAGTTCGTTAATGGGCAGAATGTATTGAATCAATTTGGACTCCCTGACAAACAAATGGGACTTTTACCTAGTTATATTATATTAGAAACTTATTTACCAATGTTTTTTATGTTTTGTAGTTTTTAATAAGTATTTAAATTTTTCTTACAAATTATGTAGATTACTCCTTAAAAGACTCTCAGCCCATTATTAGTGCCTTCAATTAAGGGATTCAATTATATCCTTTCCTTTTTTTCCCGTTCCTCTTCTCTCTCCTTTTTTTTTTTACAATAAAATTTCTTAATCTACGTCCAGAATCTCTATCTCCTCTCTTCCCACCATTGCCGATAATTTTATATTATTAAATCATATTTGCATCATTCTTTTGCTGAGAGACCGGACAACACTGAAAATGAAGAAATATTCAGGAATTGTATGATAAATGTATCATAATTGTATTTAAATTGTATCAGATACATCAATACGTAAAACGTAATTGTATCATAATTGTATATAACTTGTAGATGGTACATTAATATCCAAAATAATACATGATACAATACTAATAATTAATATATAATTATCATATATTTGTGATACAAACTGTGAAATTCGTCACGATCTCACAACTGCTCATAATTCAAATATAAATTTGATACAATCTTGAAAGAATTCTTACACAATTTTGATACAATTGTGATACAACTTAAAATCGACTCTAAACTTAAACTGATACAATATCGAATTATACTTGTATTAATATTGTATCATGCATTATTTTAGGTACATATTGTGTTACAATTGTGATACAATTCTAAATTATGATACAACTTTGATCTTCATCTTTTTCAATTTTTAATTTAAGACATCCACCTAGAACCAACTATAAACTTAAATTATAATACAATATTGTATTTTAATAGTATTAGTATTGTATCAGAATTGTCTTGGGTATTGATGTATCAAATACAACTCAGATACAATTTTGATACCTTTATTATACAATCGTAATACAATTCCAAAACTTCATCTTCCTCGAGTTTCATTATGAAATTCAACCTAAAACCAACTTTAATATAGAGTGAAGCTTACCCATAACTTGATTGTAGAGCAAATCTTCAAATTTCTTCTGTATTATATAAATAAGAAAGAGATTTTGAACGATTAAAGATAGAAATCATATATCAACAGCTTTGGAATAGGAAAGAATCTGCAATTATGGGAGATAACAATGGAAGAGGAGTGAGTAAGCGAGATTTTTGGGTTAGAACGATTATGGTTATCAATGGCTTTCTTACTGTGGGTAAGTACAAAGAGAGGTGATGATTTTGGGGTTCAGTGGATTTCTTACGATGATGATTTTGGGTAAGCACAAAGACAGATATAATTTTCCTTAGAAAAAGGAAGAGTATCTTAAATGTAGGGGATTATGTGTAATTGATACCCAATATTTAAGGTATGTTTCATTTTCTCCTTTCTATGATTTTGTATAAAACTAGTAAATATAGGTATATAAAGTAATTAATAAGGAATCTAAATAAAGGTAGTAAATAGGTTTCTATTATAGTATAACTAGGTAAAAATCCCAATACGAATCTATCACAGTGGGCCTAGTTGATGGGCATATTATCAATAAACTAGCTCTTGGTTTCATTGCCCAGTGGACAATGTGATGAAATGATGGGATTGAGAAAGGGACGGGTCGATCCTATTTGAGCGAGTTAAAAAGAATTGAGTCAGTAATTACATTATGAATCAATTCATCCAAAATTTGTTTAAATGAAACGGTTATGATTTAAGCCGCTCAAATTAACCCCCAGAGTATTCAAAGTTTCTCCATTTTATTTTGAGCATGAGTTACTTCAGAGGAATTGCATCATTTGACCCTAGAAACCTCTTAAAAGTTACTTATCTTGCAAATTGACATCACAAAAGTTTCACTAAAAGATATCTTTTTCCTCCTTTGCATTCACATTTGATGCAAAGAAAATTTTAATTTTTTTATGACCTTATTTCTCCCTAATTCCGTTCTTCCTTATAAACCAAACACCCCAAAAAAGAAAAATTATGTTCATCCCTCTCCTCTCTCTCACTTCCAAGTTCGAGTAAAGATAAATATTTAGACACTTGGGCAACTTTCACTAGTATAGTAGTATTAGTAGCCGTGATGCTCGTACATTATTAAAGAATATTAATTATATGAAAGTGTGATCGATCTGAATTGTTCGAGTACTTCAAATCATATATTTTAACAAAATCATAAATTAAATATCATTTTATCTCAATGTAAGTACCAAAAAAATTATCTCTTTTAGACTTTTATTCGATTGCTCCGAATATATTTATTATTTGAAATTATCAATAATATTTTCGAGTATTATTTTTACTTTATTTTTTAAGTTAATTCAAAGTATACTTAGTGTTACTCTATATCTATTTTTTTTTTATACATTATTTTACTATTCTAAAAATAATAAGTTCAATGGCCTACCCATTAGATATTATCCCATATATTCAATGTTAACTAGTACTAAGTTCGGGGGCAAGTTGTGTTACCAAATTATGGCTCCTTTCAACAAAGTTTCTCCAAATTATTTCAACAATACTAACTCGATCTCATCATCATTCAGGTCGTTTCCTTTAATCCCACAAGTATATAAGGTAATATGTTCATTAGGGTCGGTTGTCCCGTTATATTTGGGTATATCGGGCATGCAAAACTTTTTAGGAATAGGCATCGGAGCCGCTCTTTGAGGGAATGGTTTCTGTATGAACTTTTTGGCATCTAAACCTTTCAGGTCCGGGGGTGTCCCCGATATTTGATCAACACGGGAGTTATAAGTCTCCACCTTTTGTCATTGTCCTCAATCTTCTTTTCCCTGGACTCGCGATCCTCTTGGTGAGATCTTCGAGTATCCTCATGGCGATGGGGTCAGTCCCCGAGCCATTTTCGTTTAACCTCTCTGGTGCCGGTTCAGCACGTCGAGTGTTTTCCGGTTCAGCTATACTCGGAGTTTTATTCTGACTCTGAAGTTGAGCGATGGCAATCTGTTGAGCTTGCAGCATCTCGAATATCACTTGGAGGCTGACTCCCCCATCTCCTATACCTTGTGCTCCTTGGCCCTCAGATCGGGCTTCCCCGTGTATACTTCCTCCGGGGTCTGCACCTAAATCTGCATTTAAAGCAATGTGCGAACTAACATCAACTGGTTCCACATTTGGCACTTCATCAGGGTTTATCGGTGGTACACCGACCCCTACATTGTTGTTTTTCCCATAAAATCCAAGACCTTCGTTGTCATGAACAAGTGCATTTTGCGAGTTTGACATGTTTAATCCTGAGAATCAAAAAAAAATTGACAAGAAAAAATGTAAAAATATAGTGTGTTATGAGAATCATTAATGAAATAATCACTATTATTTTTATCCCCACGGTGAGCGCCAAACTGTTTACCTTGAAAATATGAGTAACAATTAATTTGATTTGTGGTTGTAAAGATATGTGATTTAGTTCAATACTAATTAATAATCAAGAAGTATAAAGTATAAATGAAAGAAATGAGTGAATCAAACCAGTGTTACTAGGCAGTATCGACCTCGAGCTCAGTGACCTCGAGATGGATTAAGGACAATAAAATAAGAATAATAAAGCTAAAAGATAATTCTGATGAACAATGACCGAGAAAAGTAAGAGAGTATGTTCTTGCTAATGATTAGATCCCCTTTACAAATGATTGGGGTCCCCTTTATATAATAGGGGAACCCTAAATAAGGTGCATTTCCATTTACAGTAAAGAATCTTATTGGGACAGTTGTCTAACTGCCTAGTACGGATTCGTACAAATCTGTTCCAGAATTTACGTCATGATTTTGGGGACGTGGCAGGAATTTTGCTCATTTTGTTATAAATCCATAACAACATTACCTCGAGGCCTAGTCATAGTCGAGCCCCGACGTTCCTCGAACACTTAATTCTTCGAGCCTTGTACTCTGTCATCGAGCTGGAGCCTAGTTCATCGAGCTTGAACTCGATCCGTCCTGAATTTGGGCTTAAGGTGATCCCTCGAGCCTAAAAAATCGGGCATACCTTATTTCGACCGTATACAAATTTCATTGCATATTCGAACATTAAATAATTAGCTACCTAAACTATTTTTGGACTTAGTTTATATTTTGTAATTCAAATATGAGTGCAATTAAAATTTTATTATTTTATACAAATAGTTTGGTGCAATTAAAATTTATTATACAACGATACATGCATAAGTCATGTGATTAGTTAGTATTTACATATTTTAAGAATCAAAAATGAAATTATGAAAATACTCAAAAAGAAAAATGGAGAAAGCGATATAAATTGGAAAGTTTCCAACGAGACAAAGAAAAGAATATATATATATATATATATAATACTAAAATTCTTATAATTAAGACGTACACAGTTAAATGTCTATCTTTATTAAGCTGTGTGCAAATTTATAATACAAATAATATGTCAGAAGTAGTGTCTATATTTTAGTTATACTTACTTGAGTTAATTGCAATATTGTCATAACCTCAAAGCACAACAGGATGAGGTCGAGTTAAATAAAAAGAAGAAAAATAAAGAAGTCCTTCTGCCCACGCCATTTCAGCCATACTCCTAAATTACATTGTATACCGCCTAAACTCTACCCACTCTCCTAAATTACACAGAACTCCCGCGCCTTTTCAGCTTCTTCTGCCCACGATCACAATATACTAAATCCTTTCCATTATTTTTCCCAACTGAAAGATTATCTCAAACCAGTCTCTCACAAGCTATCGTTTGGATGCTTCTCAATTCCACAATCCATTCGGCTAAGTGGTAAGTATTTTTTATCAATCTAATTTTTCCAGTATATTGTAGATATGTTGAAAGCTTGTGCTCATTATGATTGGGATTTGAGGCCTAATTTGATTATTAGTACTCATTTTTTACTATCTAAAGATTTTTAGAAATCAATAAATGCTACTGTAATCTTTTTACATTATCAGGAAAGGAAGTTTGTCAGAAAAATGACTTCAAATCGTGAGTGGATGTACAAAAGGTTAACGAGAGGTTTGTATAATCCAGAATTCGTGGTGTTGAGCAATTTATTGAGTTTGCAAAGAATCATCGGGAAGGGAGGGATGGTGAGAGACTAAGGTGCCCATGTAACCGAAAAAAGTGTCAGAATAAATTTTTTGAAGATGTTCTTACGGTCCACGAACATTTATTGCATGACAGCTTCGTACCTGGATATCATATACGGTACTTGCATGGAAAAAATGAGGTTACTAGAAATATAGTTCAACATGAAGAGATGCAAAATTGGGATCAAACTATGAATATTGCATCAGTAAATGTGGGTGCAATTGATGAGCCTGGATCACCTACTTCATACCATAGAATGGTCCTTGACGCCGCTGGCCCCTCATTCGATCCGAATGATATGGATGAATTACTGAATTCTGATGCACAGAAATTTTATGATATGATTGATTCTGCAAATTAAGAGGTGTGGCCTGGCTATGAAACACATTCTCAATTGTCAGTTGTTGCACGTTTATTGCATATCAAGTCTAAACACCATCTATCTGATAGATGTTTTGATGACATTTGTCAATATGTGAATGAGATGATTCCTTCTGATAACCTAATGCCAAAAAATTTCTATGAAACTAAGAAGTTAATGCAGGGAATGAACATGCCAGTAGAAAAAATTCATAGTTGTATCAATGCCTGTATGATTTATTGGGGAGAAGACAGTGAACTTAGCCATTGCAAGTTTTGTCGTCATCCCAGGTACAAGCCTACTAGGAAAATATCTAATTCAAAGAGAAATCTTGTACCATTCAAACAGATGTACTACTTTCCCCTCACTCCACGGTTGCAACGCTTATATGCTTCCGGCATGACTGTTGCACGTATGCGATGGCATGCCGAGCATGAAGTAAAGGAAGGTGCGATGCGTCATTGTTCAGATGCACCCGCATGGAAACACTTTGATAAGATGCATCCATCTTTTGCAGCTGAAAGTCGTAATGTTAGATTGAGGCTATGCACATATGGTTTTCAACCATTTGGACAAACAGGTCAACAATATTCATCTTGTCCAATAGTTGTGACACCATACAACTTGCCGCCTTGGATGTGTATGAAAGAGTCCTATTTGTTTTTTGTCAGCTATAGTTCCTGGGCCGAAGAACCCTAAGCAAAAATTTGATGTTTTCTTGCAACCTTTGATTGCAGAACTAAAAAATATGTGGAGTATAGGTGTGGACATATATGATATCTCTAAGAAGCAAAATTTTAACATGCGAGCTCCTTTGATGTGGACAATTAGTGATTTTCCTGCATATTTGATGTTGTCTGGATGGGGTACTGCGGGTAGGCTAGCATGTCCATATTGTATGGAGAATACAAATGCTTTTACTTTGACAAAATGTGGCAAACAGTCCTGGTTTGACAATCATCGTAACTTCCTTCCACTGGATCATCCATACAGGACTAATAGAAATTCATTTAGAAAGAATAAAGTAGTCACAACGCATCCTCCCCCGATACGGTCAGGTGATGATATATTGAAGGAGATAAATGAATTGGGGTTGAAAAAGGTAACAGAGCTTGGGGCTGATATTATTAATGGCAAAATTAGCAAGTTTTCTGGTTGGAAGAAAAGAAGCATATTTTGGTATTTACCATATTGGAGTACAAATCTCATTCGGCACAATTTTGATGTTATGCACATCAAGAAAAACTTTTTCGAGAATGTGTTCAACACAGTGCTAGATGTAGATGGTAAAACCAAAGATAATCCCAAATCTAGAGAAGACTTGAAAGAGTTCTGTCGACGACCTGAATTACATGCTGTTGGTGACGAATATCCGAAAGCTTGTTACACACTAGATAAGAAGTCAAAAAAAGTATTGTGTGAATGGGTAGAGACTCTGAAATTTCCAGATGGATATGTCTCAAATATGGGAAGGTGTGTGGACATGAAAAAACATAAATTGTTTGGTATGAAAAGCCACGATTGTCATGTATTCATGCAAAGATTGGTCCCTATTGCGTTTCGTGAGCTATTACCACAAAAAGTTTGGGAACTACTTGCTGAGATGAGCCTTTTCTTTAGGGATCTCACTTCTACAGCAATTCGGGAAGAGGATATGGTCAGACTTGAACAAGAAATGCCTGAAATACTTTGTAAATTGGAGCGTATATTCCCTCCCAGCTTCTTTGATTCAATGGAACATCTCCCCGTGCATCTTGCTTACGAAGCAAGGATAGCAGGTCCAGTGCAATATCGATGGATGTACCCATTTGAGAGGTAAAATTTCATTGATATTAAGTCAAGCACTTCATTTTCATCATCATGAATGACTCGCAATTTGAGCTTATATGTTATTTCCAGAAACCTTCAAAAATTGAAAAATAATGTTCGAAATAAGGCACAAGTTGAAGGATCCATATGCAATGCGTATTTAGTTGAGGAAGCTTCATCTTTTTGTTCACACTACTTTGAACCTCATGTTTACACAAGGCATAGAAAAGTTCCACGGAATGATGATGGTGGTACAAGGGAAAGGGATGAACGCGATGGTAATCTTTCTATATTTACCTATCCATTAAGGCATTTGGAAGATGTAAACCAAGATATATGACAGAAGAAGAACTTGATGCAACTCATATTTATGTTTTATTAAATTGCCTAGAAGTACACCCATATATTGAGTAAGACTTCAAGATTTTGTTTTAATTTATAGATGAGCAAAATCATCAAAACACTTAATATATAATTTTCTTGGATGTGATTCAAAGGATTTTTATTGACTCCCTTCGTCAAAATTTCCCACAAATTACGGAGAAAGAAGTGGATAGGAAACTTGATGAAGATTTTGCATCATGGTTTAAAAGATATGTGAGTACTTGTACAATATCCTTCCACTTATACTTACCTCACTTACGAGAAACTCTAATTATTTTTCTTTTATAGGCACGACTCCACATAGATAATCAGTTCATCAAGGCCCTTGCAGAAGGTCTGTGTCGAACAACGCAACCATGGACCGGTTATGTTGTCAATGGCTTTAAATTTCACACTAAAGCCGCAGTTCTTCTAGAGCATCTAACAACAACGGTGTATGCATAAAAGGAACTAATTATAGTGCAGATGATAGTGACTACTATGGTGTGCTAAATGATATCCTTGAATTGGAGTACAAGGATAGTGAGTATATAAAGAGAACTGTTTTATTCAATTGCGAGTGGTTTGATCCCACAAGGAAGGAATGAAGATTCACCCACAATATAAACTTGTGGATATCAACCATGAAAAGAAATTAAAGAAGTATGAACCATTTGTTTTGGCAATACAAGCGGCTCAAGTGTATTATACATCTTATCCTAGCTTACGACGTGATAAGAGTGACTGGTGTGATGTGTGCAAAATAAAAGCACGGGGTATTGTGGACATGCCTCCGTCATCTTCACAGTCAACTCCGACAGATGGTGTTGAGCCATTCCAATCCTAAGAAGATGGTTTAACATTTGGTGTGGTACCTGACAATGAAACTGTTCTCCTGAATGATCCAAATGGTGAATTCATAAACATAAGAGACGAGGATGATGATTTAGATGATGAGGTAGAACTTCATGTTGAATTTGGGTCGGATGAAGATGAGGATGAGGATAATGAGGATGAAGCGCCATATGATGAAAATGACAGTGAATAGAGTCAAAGCGCCTCAATCTCTTCAACTATAGAGTCTGAATGAATGAAACATAGTATATAATTTATTTTTATTACTATTTGATTTTACATTTTCTGAGAAAAAAGTTCCTGGATTTCAGATTTTATGGTTCCTTATTTTTTTTAAACTTAAGTATTTGTATTTAATAGCTCTTTCGCTTGCTTGTTTGACCGGTTACCATCAATCTCATTTTGTGAAGAGTAGTAGTTGTATTTGCAAATGCGGTAAGAAATACTTATGAAGTTGTTTGTCTTTTTAATCTGCCATGTCTAGATTAATACTTGTATGCATTAATTTTTTCAGAGCATTCTGTTCTTGGAGTAATATATAAATTAATTACTCTTGCAATAATATATCAATTAACTACTTATTACAGTATCTAATTAGATTTGATCATAATTCATTAATTATATATTTGTTCATATACATATGACTTTGGAATTGCAAATATGGCACCTAGGGGAGGTGGAGCACGTAGATATGCTGAAAACAGGAAGGCAAACACACTGAGATCTCCTGAGATGTTGAGTCCCATATCTAATCAGTCAACATTATCACATGAACCTCCAGTTATAGAAACACCACATTCGGATGCAACTATAAACAGATCCTTACCATCTTCATCTTCTAATCTTGGTACACCTGGAGATGAAATTCAAACAACAAGTTCGTCAAACATAATTGGTGGTAACCGTATCCTAATTACAATCGTCCTTGGAGGGTAAGAGTACAAGTGTTATCTATTTATATTTATTTATTTATTTATTTTTATTTCGTGCTTATCTGGTGTGTATCAGTGCATCTTTGTGAAGTTATGCGAAGTCATACCTGATTGTTTAGCATCTAAAAAGATAGATACATATTTAGACTATTGGGACAGACATGTTGAGGCACAATTTGTTATAGTATGCAGTTAGCGAAATCTTTTTTTATCCTTTTTATATGGTACGTAGGACAAGCACTTCAAATGAACATGTCATTTGATTTTCTACTCTAACAGCAGGGTGCTCTTATCCAAAAAAACTAGAGAAAGCAGGAAAGTTCTTATCTTTTTCAATATGACTAAACAAATGACTCTAGATGAATATACTCATGGAATCGTCTTATAGAGGAAAGCTTTTCTATTTTATTTTATATGAAGTAAGACTTGGTCTTATTAGGAAAACTTTTGGAATAATGTATATGATTTGCCAATATGAGTGCATTAATGTAGTCTTCGTTGCATACCAAAATCTTAATTCCTTCATATTAACTCTAGTTAGGAGGTAACAACTCATTTACTGCAGTAATTGTGTAAAATAAAGATATTACTTACACTTCACACAAAAAATATAAATTGGTTCGTAAGAAGATGGGCAGAAGAATGTCCCTTTTGATGATTATTAAGCATCGCCTAAGTAATTCACGTTATTTCTCAAATGCTTCTTGAAAGAATACGAAGTCTTTAAATGAAATGGAGTAATAAAATAATTCGTTTCTTATTTACTCAAGTCTGGACCCGGGCAATCAAGTCATTCGGTCTGTCACAAAAATCTTCAAGGAGAAACTGGATTATGCAGGACATAATTGGAAGTCTGTTATACTAGAGACAAAAGATTTCTATTGGGAAGAGTTTAAGGTAAAGTTATAGTACTAATTATTATTTTAATAATGGAATTTGTACATTTTAAATTTCTGTTTTATCAATCTTGTGTTTCATCTGTTCTGTGCGCATTCCAGAAAACACTGGTTTGGGGCTTCTGACATCTCTGATCTGATTAATACTAGGGTGGGTAGCCAAACAAAATCTGGTTAGTAGTCTTCAATGTCGAGATATATAGGAGATATCGGATAATTATGATGAACTAATAAATAAATGCATTAGAAGTATGCTTTAGTTGGCTAGGGAGAATGCAGTTCTTTGCTTTGTTAGTTTCTAGACAGATAATTTTAGTAGTCCGACCTAAAATGTGGGAGAAATCATGATATCGTGAATGAGCTCCCAATTATTTCATCTACTGCTATTAATTCTATCGGAAGTGGACCGTTATCCATCTCTTACATCTTTGAGAAACCTTGTAATCATGATTAAGTCCTTATAGTTTGTCATATTGGTGCTTTTCTCTTCAGAATATCCTTCCGCTGAGTACATATGTGATACATTTATCAGAATTTCACGATACTTGAATTCCTCTCATTGCAATATTTTATTTTTGTTGCATAATTAGGGAAAAATAATCATAATCCTTATATATAACAGTTTTTATAACGTCCAAGACTTCTTAGTTTTAGTGCTTTTATGCTGCTATAAATACCTACACATCAGTAATGCAAGATAAAAGGATGAAAAATAGAAAACTTAATACCTTAATATTATACTAGTTAGTTTCCCTTTCTGTCAAATGTACAAATGTCATGAAGTAACTACTGCATGAATTATTTCAACTTCCGGAATATACATATGTTGAATTGTATAGGTTCTGGTCCAAGCATCGTTATTTATCAAGTACCTTGACAGAGCAATTCTAGGACTGCTATGTCCTGCGGCACCAATGTCCGAGAAGAACTAGGGGAAATTTATAATGACCACAACAGTAAAGACGGAATAAGCATAAACTTTTGATCCCATATGTTGATAATAATTATGTCTCGCAAAGGTTTTTGCTATCTTGAGGGATCACAGTTCTTTCTTAGTATTTGGTTGGTGATCTTTGTTTTTAACTTGATTTCTAGATCAGTAATTTTTTTTCTTTAGCTAGGCTAGAAGATCCTTCTCATTCCTTTTAGATATTTGGAGCTATTCTTTTTTTTTTTTTTCCAAATAAGATCGATAATATTTGGAGTTCCCTTTATCTTTCTTGAGCCGAGGATCTACTATACTGGGTAAGTTGTTGTTGTTGTCGTTATCAATATCTTGTGTTATTTTTCATTTGATCTTTTCAAACAGAAACTATTTCAATGGGACACTGCAATTGAAGGTGCCATAAAGGATAAGTTTATGAGCAAATGTGCAGAACGATACACGGGTATGTTATCTGAAGCAAGAGCTTGTGAGAAGAAGCGCAAACATATTCCAGTATCTATTTGGGAGAGCTGGAAGCCTCACTGGGAGACTGAGGCTTTTAAAGCCAAGTCTGCACAATGCTCAAGGAATCGACTAAGTGAAAAAGGTGGTGAAGGGTCTGGTCCCTCACGCCATACATGAGGCTCCAGATCTCACCGAGAACATGCAAGACTACTGGCATATTCATTTTTCTTTAGCCAAGTTAGAATATCTCCAAAGCTAGTGATTATGTATTAATATAGTGAACTTGATTTTCAATTTTAGGCTAAAGAACTAGGAAGACCAGCTCATCCACATGAGCTTATGAAGAAGACACATGTCAAGGCGAACAAGGAGTTTGTGGACCAGAAATCTAAGAGCACATATGTAAGTTACTATAGCTTGGCTGTCATTTTTTGGCACGTAAAAGTAAAGCACCTATTTGGCGATTACATATCTCCTATTACCAATTTTGAGTGAGTGATACCCAAAATCGGTCTTACAATTTGAACTAAGAAATGTGGAAACCTGTAACCTATAACAGTATAAACAAATATAATATAAACTAGCCATATGGATATAAATCGCATGAGCACCCACTGTCTCCAAATTTGATTCGCCTTCTTCCAAGAGCTGGGCAGATCCTTGTAGCTCTTTGAATAATTTATTGATATCTTCATTATTTGGCTTGAAAGCGTAGCACAAACTTTGAGCACTAATCCAAATGAAAACATTACATCCTTCAGTTCACACGATATTCATGCTTTTATGTGATTCCTTGTTGATTTGTTGAAACTCATCTTGATATTCCATTGCATCCTTTTATGTATTATGTTAACTCCCCATATTTGGTAAATATCTTGTGAATCACCTCCCACATTTGAAACTTCGAGTTGTCCAGGTCTATAGCACAATGAGTTTCCTTTATGATTATATAGTGTACCTTCCTAGAATGTAGCGATGTTCAGTATAATATCAATGTATTATTCCCATGAATCACATCCTGGGAAACTATACATATGTAATACAGTGCATATGCCCTTCTGAGAGCCCTCCAAATGTAGCTTCCAAAGTCAGTCAGGAGCGTGGCCAAAGAACTGGGCAGTGGCTTTCCTCTAAGATGCAGTAAATGTGAGTCCCTATTTTCTTTATGGAAAAATGGCAGAAACATAGTGGTTTGGACATGGTTGTGTATTCTAAGCATATGCCCTCTGAGATTGAGAGCACATATAGTCCTAAGTATTTTTTATTTACTCCATGGTTCCATGCTTATGCCTACTATCCGATACTCATTCATGGGAGTGAGTATCAAGTGCTAATACTATCAAATGGTAAGGCATGGATACAATACCTGCAAAAAAGAACACAATGTTAATATAAACAAGACCCACCATGTTCTCCTTCCTAAGGATTTGAACAAGGCAGGCATGTATGGTTATTTCCCCCCTTTATTATGTTCACCTTCTCCTCCCCTTTCAATCTCTTGCAACTCTTATCCTTAAGTATGGGCATTGAAGTTTATCGTTATTCACAATCCTTTTCCTGTACTGTCCAGTTGTGCAAAAGAATCACACTCCATAGGACCTACATCAAGAGCATTATTAGCTAAGTTATCAGCCAGTTTGTTGTCTCCGCGATATATATGCGTTATGATAGCGTTACACTCCTATAACAGCTTCCTTATTTCCTCCACATGCTCTACAATTCCCCGTGATGTACTCCACCTTCCTTCAATGACATTTTTCATTAGCATAGAATATGCTTGCACCCAAATAGGAGATAGCAACTGAGCTTTACAATACCTTAGTGCATGAAGGATAGATACTGCCTCTGCTTCTGTGTTTGTAGTTTCATGAATCTACTGCCCATGTACATAAATAATATCCTCTAATGCATCTCGTGTACAGTAACCAATTGAACTCTTGCCTGGGTTCCCTCTCGTAGCACCATCAGTATTCAATTTTAGCCATCCTTCTCTAGAAAACTCCCAGATGATTTATAAATCTGCACATATAAGCTGTATAACATGTCATTGTTGAAAATTATTACTTCTTTATCTGAAAGTATAACAAATTGATGACGAACAAGTAATGCAATTTGTAGGGAAAAATTGTTGTGTACATCAAAACAATTGTTTTTAAGGTGTTGTTATTGACATTTGAATTTTCAGTTTTGTTGCCTTTATGGAGTTTATATCATTTTTTTGTTCAGGATGCCATAATGTCTAAAATTGCGTCTGCGTCTCAGCCTGAAGATGGGTCCAGTGAGCCTCTTGAAGTTGATTACTCACAAATTTATTTGGAGGAAGTCGGTGTTAAGAAGACGCGCATTTATGGTCTTGGTTCTCAAGCTCCTTTCTATGGGGATGTTGGTGCATCCTCTAGTTCGATATCTCCACTTCAAGATATAGACTTTAATGCTCGGGTGAATGAATGTGTCGGGCATCGTTTGCAAGAAATTAAGGAAGAGATGAAGCATGAGATGAGATTAGAGATCAGAGAAGAGATTAGACAAGAAATGAGAGAAGAAATGCGAGAAGAATTGCGTGAAGAAATGAGACACGAAATGCAACAAGAGGTGCGTGAGCAAGTTGATCAACTACTCCAAAATCGTCTGTCGGTCCTCATCGGTGGCTTACCTACACCGCCTTCTCGTAGACATGACTCGTCGTCAAATGACACGATTTATGGCATGTTAGACACGTCTTGGATTCTTGAATTCTGCTTTCAACTTCATGATAGATGTTATTATTATTTTTAAAGTTCTAGTATGTTTTTTGTTTTGTTTAATATTTGTAATAGTTGGTAACACATTTACAATTTGTTAGTAAATTTTATGACGAATTACTAACGTAAATTTTAAAAATAAATAACCATATTTGCTAACGAATTTGAAATTTACTTGTAAATTACCAACAATTTCTTAAACAGAACTTTTCCATAGATAAAATTACCAACCGATTGCCAATATACTTTTAAAATAAACTATCGGATTTAACAACCAAATTGGTATCCATTAGTATAGTTGCTAACGGAATACAAACGGAAATTTTCTTGTTACTATATTTACCAACCATTTACAAACACAATTTAAATAATGAAAAACCAATTTTACTAATTCATTTTCTATCTGTTAGTAAAGTTACTAACGGACTTCCAACCGAATTTTGGTTAGTAAATTTACCAACGAAAATCTTGGACTCAAGATTCAAAAATTACCAACAAATTTATTTGGTGTTTACTAACTGATTTTTAGTTGGTAATTTTACCATCAAATTCAAACTGGTTGGTAAAATTTACCATCAAATTCAAACTGGTTGGTAAAATTACCATCAAGCCTTTTAGCAACGGATCAATATCCGTTAGTACTCTGTTAGTAACTTAAATTGCCAACCAATTTGATCAGTTTACCAACAATTTTTTTTTTTGGTAATTGTTTTTTTTTTTTTTTTTTGTAGTGTTAGGACATGCATTTTATTTGAAAAAAAATTGTAACTTTTGTGAGTGGAAGAAAAATTTTCACTCAAAAACTAGTTTTCATATTTTATGAACAAATACTGTTTAAAAAGAATAAATAGCCAAAATCTATAGCCAAACAGGAGCTTAGTAGGAATTCAGTCTTCTTTTAGAAGGTAAAATGTGGCCAGTATTCCTACACTTGTTCTGTTTCTTGTGATAATCAAAGACCAAAACTAAAAAGAATGACTATTCATGAAAGGAGCTAATTTCAACCATTTACTTCAGTTCTTTGACTGGTAACTGCTAAGGTCAAAGGAAAAGTTTCACAAGCACATGTAGGACGTCTGATCTAAAATAGTTTAGATTGTCACTTTAATTATTTTGCATACTCTCACATGTTACCTAGACTTTTCTCTTTGTACTGCATTAGGTTATACATGCTGATAATTGTATATTTTTTACACTATAATTATAATTAATTAATAGGTTATAGCAAGTTAGTTGTTTCTTTTACTAGGTTACCCTAATGCATATAATATATACATATAATTAATTTACAAGCGACCGATTTCAAAAGTTTTATATTAGCTTTGTAATTGAAAATAAACTTCCTAAATTGGTAAGATAGGAAAAATTGTGCTATTTTAAAAGTTTTTCCCGCTATGATTGAAGATGTTAATGTAATATACTGGAAGGTTATTACTCTATTATTGAAATGATAATGCACTAAATTGTGATTTCTTAAGGACGGAGTATTATTATGTGACTAATTGATGTATTATGAATTAGCATGACCGTACTGTACGCTTCCGAGTAACAATACTCCTATACCAAATCAGTCGAAATTGTTCGCCTAGTACGGTATATATGTCGAGTAAATGAAACAATGCACGTAAATATTGTAATACTTAAGTTACTCGACCTGGTTGTAATAAGGTTGACTTTGTAATTTTTAATAGAGTAATATTACGCTACCAGTATAAATGCAACTTTAGGAGTCGTTTGGTACGCAGACTAAACTATCCCGGGATTCTAATCCTAATAATCCCGGGACTAATTTATACCACATGAGAGATGGGGTAAAATAATCCCACATTTGATGGGATAAAGTGGAATAAGATGAGATATTCTGGATTAAGTATGGGATTAAATTTATACCTTGTTTGGTTGGAGGTATAAATTTATTCCGGGATAAATTTATACCTCAAACCAAACACAATATAAATTTAATCCCACATCTTATCCCTTATACCAATGACCCCTAAATCTTGTAAGTTCTAAGGTCGGAGATAGTCATCTTCGCATGAGAGCAACGTTGAATTTTCAAACAACATAAAACTTTAAACATGCCAAAAAAATCAAATATTTCAGCTGTCTATGTAAAGGTGATTGCGTGAGTGGACTCAACTGCCTCAATCGCACAACATATATGCTGTAGAATTTGGTACAAACATAGCGGTTTGCTAGAGACTAGACTAGTTAAGTGTGTATGTTTTGTCAAAAAGGAGCGTCAATGATTGCAGAACTTTCCAGTACGCATAATTCTGCACAACACACATAGTAGTATATTACTTATGCACACGTATAATATACACGCATATAAACAACATTCTTTTCAAGTATGTAGAAATAACATTTATGTGATTGAGTAAAAGTTATAAATTGATGTGTCCAAATTCCCTCTAGCTACGTGTCTTTGCTATTGCCTTTCGGAAGGCACAGTTACAGTACATGTATATCCGTTTAGTTCCATGGGCGTAAGTAGTTAATATTTCAGCAGTTTGGTTGGATAATATGTGTGAGTTCACCTTTTGAATTATGAGAGAGTTAGCATAGTTTGTAACATTTCAAAGTGGTGGATTCTGAATATTCTTTGCTCCACTATCCAGTGAGTCACTGACTGGGCATTTTGGCATGTATTTGCACGCTTATAGTATAGTAGGTATATATCAGCTTTGCTTTGATAGATAGACATTACTTTTGTCATATAAAATGGTCCAAAAATCTGATCTCCAAACTGCTGGATTATCGTACTGGGTCCGTCGACTGGACCATGTGCGCCAAGACTTATCGTGACATGCATCTGTAAATATAATTAAAGGTTTGGTTTATGTCTTTCATGACTTTCTGTTTTCAATTTTAACTATTTCTTGCCAACCAAATTTAGCAGAATGCGTACCAAACTGGTTGGACATTTGAATAAGGTGAACAGTCCAATCACTAGCTAGCTGTAAAATGACTACATGCATCGTTTAAGAACTCAATAATTTACCATACATATACTGAAGACCTTATATATATGGTTATATGTTAAAGAATCAGCTTTATTAAAACTTGGCCAAATACCTTAACTTTAGAAAAAAATATTTTTGGGAAAAAAGTACTTTTAACCAAAAAAAAAAGTTTAGCCAGACAAGATATTAGAACCATCACGGACAAATTGTGCATTTGGTAGGGATAAAAATATTTTCCCTTGAAAGTTACTTTGAGAAGTAGATTTCTAGATAATTTTCTAGCCGTTGTTTAAGTTTAAATGTAGGTGACATATGGTTAACGTAAAAAGGTATAGAATAGGGTGTGAAAACATATTGTGATGGTACTTTTGTTAAAGATTAACGACAACAATATTCAAGTGTTAGAGTGAAACAAGTGACATCCAACATTAAACTCATGCTCATAAGTCTAGAAACTTAAGGTTACCGAACATTTAGGGCCCGTTTGGTCATAGATTTTGCTAAATTTTTCAAATTTTTTTGTGGCAAATACATGTTTGTTCATAAAATTTATCCATATTTTAGCAAATTTCCAAAACCCAAAATCCAGATCCCAAAACCAGCTGGGCCCAAAATATTACTATTAAATTTTTTAAAAATTGCCCCAAACCTTTTTATTTTATAAAAGAGCCCACCATTTATTATTTGTAACAATGTTGCGTCTTCTTCTTGGTCATCTGATAGTATATTATGTAGTTCATTATAGAAATGATAATTTTGTACCAATTTTTTTTATGTTCAGGACTATGATTTGTGATAATGATAATGAATGTTATTGATGAAGATACTATTAGGTACTTGTGATAGTTTTTAGAACTCGTGAGTATAAGTCATGCTTCATGTTTTTTCAAAAAAAAAAATGAAGTAAATTATGTTTTGAAAACTGATGTCAAATCACATTTTCATCTTCAAACCAAACTTCACTAGATTTTTCAAAACAAATTTAGAAATCTATGACCAAACGCTAACTTAAAAAATGATTTTATCGAAAATAACATTTTGCTGAAAAAAACATTGTCCTACTTATCAAACAACCAAAAGGCAAATCATATGATTCTTTTGGAAGTTTGGGTTAAAATTCCCATAAGTTTAGCTTTCGAAAAAACAAAGTACAGTATTGTTAAATATGGGAAAACAGAAGTAAACCATGACTCTTTGTGGGAGCTAGGCCGCTCTCTTTTAAAAGATTCAAAGTTCACTTTTTATGTTCAAAGGAAATGGAACTGTGAGAGTCCCCACAGTCACACCAAATTGTGGCAGAGAGACTTTTACTGCTGAATATTCTTCTAAATACTGCTTTCTTTCCCTTTCAATTTGACTACACCTACATGCTCAGTTACTGCATGCTCTTACCACTAACCATAAGGCATGGGAAAAAACGAATTACAGTGCCATTTGCTGCAATTCCCAAAAGTACTGACCCTCATGCATTTACTTCCATTCAGTAAATGAAGGAAAATTGCTTTCCTTCTAGCTTTACTTTGACTAGGAATACATTCTTATTGAGTTTGCAACCAACATTTTACACATGCAATGAACTGGAGGTAGTATTTCACTAATATCAAGTCAACATTTTTAACTAGTTAAGAATAGTGGTGGCAAAATGGAAAAGAAAACAGTTATCCATTCATATTATTCACTAAAAAAGGTTGGATAATGAACTTTTTAAAAACGGATCAAATATGGATAAGAACCATATTATCCACTTATAAAATGGATAACCAATGGATAACTAATGGGTATAACTTTTACATTTGTAAAGACTCAAATCGGGGGTTGTTCAAATTTGGGATACTAGAAATTCTCCAAAAAGTGATCATACTCGAGAAATCATGGATAATATGAATATCCATATTATCCGCCGATTAACTCATTTTCTATTCATGTTAAATATGGGTCGGGTCAGATTATTTTTTCATATTTGTATTATCCATTTTCGACCCGTCCATATCCGATCCGACCCCACTTTTTTGCTACCCCTAGTCTCAAGAACTATGAAACTGAAACTCTGCAAGAAGGTGTATAAGCA